ATATTGGTACTATATTGATACTCTCTACGGCACCTACTGTATGATGGCATAGCGATGACGTCACACTCAAGCCAATCAGCGTTCAGAAGACAGACTCGTCGGATTGTGTCAGATAAGCTGATTGGTTAAAGCTGAGCTGGTTGGAGCTGATTGGTAAAAAACCAAAGCCTCGCCGCGGGTGGCTGTATTGTCGGATAAGAACGCATTCCTGGGATAAGAACGCATTCCTGGCGCATTTTCTTTTAAAATTGCCGATAACTACGAATGGAGGCCGAAATCGGCCGTAAGGAGGTAGACAGATAGGTTTTCGGACACGGGCTACAAGATGGCTATCTCAGTTTCAATTCCCATGTTAAAGGTGGCCCTTTTCCTTTAAGGTTTGAAGAGATGCAGTGTAGTTTAGCCGACTCAGGGGCATTCTGCCGAGTTATGTAAGGCGGAAGGGTCGCAACTCGCAAGTCGTTTCTTTACATGATTGCCTTACCTAATGTTCAGTTGATAATACAGCGAGGTTGGGCATCTGCTCAATCCATTTCTTCTCTGCAATAGTGCATTCGCCACTGTAATTCATTGTAAGAGGCACTGGGCTGCGCCGCCTGTTAATTATTCCGAAACCACCAGTGAATTGTCACAGTCACTCACAACAATGCGAATCGTTCAGTCGTGCGCTGGGGGTCCGCCAAGTTTGAGTGTGCTGCAGAATGCAGACTGGACCGCCGAGAATATAACACTTCCGTCTCCCTGGGCGAGCGGCGCATTGGAGCCGAAAGAAACTGCTTCAGTTTTTTTTTGTGGGGAAGATACCCATGTTTGAAAATTATGTTCTGGAATGATGCGATAAGGAAAAGGACGGTTTCTTGATTTGAGGGCTGTGGAGAAGAAGCAGATTTTCTCATTTGCTACCCGATGCAACGCGAAACGACGCAAATGTTGCACATTGGGCTTAAGAAGTCTAATAAAAGATAAGGGACTTCGTGAATCATGCGTAACTGACCGCGACCCAGTTATTTGCCACTGCAGGTAGGTCTAGGTAGGTAGATACTCATTTGTAAACAGAGCGTTCCACCAACCCTCGCCAGAAATTCAATCAGCAGTTGCTTATCTTAAAACGTTTGAGTGCACCTAACAACCTTTAAAAATGACGTCCTCCCTTTCAATGGTTCGTTCGAAGACACAAAGCCAGAATCAGCCAAGCAATATCGGAATCCATTGCGCAGTGTGTCGACTGTCGGATGTGCCCATCCACATAGCATATAGCACACACTGCTAAATGCAGGTACGGTTCTCCAGGGTATTAGTCGTTGGTCGCTCGGCGAGCGGGAGGGCAACCAGTTCCGCCCCTGTATCGCGTGACCCCTTGCTCCGCCCAGTTACGCACGAGCGTACTCCACGCCGCGTAGTAGCGTGGGGAGGGGAGCGTTAGAATGGTGGCATGTGTAGAGGCTAGAACCGGTTTCCACCGCCATGCCACCGCCCAGCGACATGGAGCGGGGTCAGTGACCAGGGCGCAGGGAAAGGTCAGAGGTCAGCTATAACGTAGAACTTTGTGTCTCCCTCCCCTCCGCGTGTAACGACCGCACGACAGCGGCCGGCCGCCGATCAGGCTTGACATGTCAAGGTCACCCGCAGTCAACGGGCTCAGAGGGCTGGTCGAGTGTGCGTCCGTGGCTGACGACAGTCTCGACCGGTGCCGATAGACTAGCGTGGGTAATAAGTTTTTGTTCAGTGCATATGGCTGCTGGGGTGTGTCATCTTGATATGATGCTTTGTAACTTGTATGATACGCTTAAAACCTCGCTGGCAGTGGCCGAGAGGAGAGGGGGGGGGGGAGGGCGGGAAGGCGGGTGCCGCCTCCACATATTTATTTTTGTTGATAGCTGCGAGAGCTGAAATTTGGCAAGCAACCGAATCGAGGAAGCGATATGACCTCCTTGAGCCAGCCTCGTGGCCTGAGTGGCTCTGCCCTGACATGACCTGAGGTAAACACCTTAAATTGACCTCAACAAAAACAAAGCGTATAGACGCGCTTGAGCATGCAAAACTCGATGGTGCCATTGTCTTGGCTCTGTAACCACTTATGGTGAAGTTGTTAACCAAAAACCGATCCCGCGACTTGGATCACTTATACTGACCTCAGAGTTTATCGGTGGACCTGAGACATTCAACTCAGTTACCAGTTGCTGCATCTCATACGACGCACGCGCTCAGTTTTATCCGCGAGGCGCTAGCTCAATTAGGGGCAAAAAGACGGAGAGGGGTCGTAATCGCCCCCCCCCCCTCGGCCGGGGTATATGCAGAAAACCCAAAATTTGGTTGAGGGTTAAGCACTGAAGTGATATATTATGATGCGAGAAGATAAAGGTCAAAACAAGTATGCACTCGAGCGGATGTGAATAAAACTGTGTAGTTGAGGTATGCCTTTTTATTATACATTCGATTTGCTTTAGATATTGGTAAGAACAGATACAACCAAGAAGAGCGCCCCTGAAGAAAAGGTGGCGCACTTGACGGGTGCGATTTTAAGGTCTAAGGTCAGTCGGGGACCTCTAAGTTCGGATCAAGCGCTGCATGTTAGAGTTAAGAAAATGGGGGCAAAAATGCATCCCGATTTTGGCAGCATCGTCATGCTTTGTCACGGCACTCATCCACTCCCTCAGCCGAAATATCAGCTCCTTTTTGTATGAGTTCTGGCATAATCCCGCACATTATGCTGCATGTTGTTTGCCATGAAAAAAGCATGTTCAGCTACGTTCTACGCAGTGCGCACTAACCTAACCACCATCCCATCATCCACCACTAGCCACCATCCCGTTCTGTGATCCCTTCCACCCCACACGAATCAGCCGAGATACTAGTTAGTCGGGCTAGCGCTATCCTCCCCTCCCTTCCTGACTGCACAGCGCTAAAACCCAGAGCCGAGATTTCCCGAGCGCGACCTCTGACCCCACGCGGTCCGAAGGGTCGGCCGATGCCTAAGGGCGCGCCGCGCGCCGGCCACCCGGATAGCCTCTGCCGAGTCTCCCTTCCATACACCGTTTACTACGCGCTCGATTCATTCATGATTCTGTGTTTCCGCGTCCCTCTCGCTAGGTGACACCACGGATGTCATAGGCGATCCCAGGAAGACTGCGGCCAGAATGCCCCAAACGGCAGAAAATGAGGTTTTTGCTAAATGTCTCAGAAAGTATTTGTCTTACGACGATGCAATTTCACAGTGTCGTGGCAAATGTGCATACGCACAAATCGGGTTAATATTTATGCATTTGAACATTATATAGGACCAGATATGTCCGAAAAAGCAAAACCAACAAGACTTTTACTGGAGAACCGTACGCTCACCTACACATTAGGCATTCGAAGGACTTGATAGCTCATACACATGGAAGAAACGCATGAAATGTGATTAATAGCTGCAGCAGAAGTTTGGCGTCCAATGCCTCTTCGCCAAGTTAAGACCATGCCAATCTCGGCCAGTCTGCCGCCGCGCCGGCACTGGCCGTGGTGTGACGTCATCCGGCCGGCTCGGCGCTGGGTAGTTCCACACTTAGGTAACTCGCGGCCGGGCCGCTCGTACTGAGATTTTCCCGTTATATTCAAAAGACTTCGCTTCGCTCGCTGCGCTCGCTCGCTCGTAACAACACTATTCTATACGATTATTTACTTTACGAACGTAACGTTACGATCTTTTGTCGAACGATCTGTTACAACATACGATCTTTATCTTACGATCATTTTCCTACGATCTTTTTTGTACGATCCATTGCTTTACGATCAGTTTTGCTTAAGATCCTTGGTCGTACGATCTTTTGCGACATACGATATTTATCTTACGATCTTTTTCCTACGATCTTTTTCATACGATCAAATGCTTTACGATATTTTGCTTACGATCTTTTTGTCGTACGATCTTTTAAAACATACGATATTTATCTTACGATCATTTTCGTACGATCTTTTGCATACGATCAATTGCTTTACGATCTTTTGCTTACGATCTTTTTACCGTACGATCTTTTACAACATACGATCTTTATCTTACGATCATTTTCGTACGATCTTTTTCCATACGATCTTTTGTCTTACGATCTTTTGTCACGTAATCAATCAGACACCGGTTCGATGCAAGGGCTCTGGGCTCAACGCCGACTTTCAACGCTCTTGCCCCTTATCAGGAAGCCGAATGACTGTGCAGCTGCGCTCGAAACTGCAGCGACTGCAGCGTCCTCTGTAGGTACGTACCTATCTGAGTCGCATAACGCGCTAATAGATGACGCTAGCAGACCAACGGCCTTAGGCACCATTTTGCAGGCTACTTCCGAGTATTTTATGTCCTGTTTTTATCATCCAACGTCAACGCCATCTTATCACCTGACCAGCTTGCAATCATGCGATTTGAGTGTAGCTTTGGTGGAAAACTAGGACGAACTAGGTTCTTCACCGGCTCAGTTGTTTACCTAGGGCCTGTCAGTCAGGCATTTTGCAGTCTTCAGACTTTAGGTGGGGGCTGATACAACTTACCTACAACAACTTATTCTGACCACTCGTCTGCATTCCTACACCTAATAAGTGTGATTGAACTAGTATATGTAACCACCTGTATCCACTCAAAATAAATAAGATCTTCGCATCGAACATATCCGAGCCGATACTGGAAGAGACCAAAATCATGTCAGCTAAATAGGATGGCCGTGTCATGTAAGCTAAACAGATGTTCCGCAGGATGCTGCTCCTGCTTGCGAAAGAGTTGAAGCCAAGTGCTGTGACGTCTTATAATTAGATTGACGGACATTTGCATGGCTCAGTTGAAAGATGAAAATCTAACCTAATTCCTCAACGGTTGTCTAAAATGGCCAAAATGACAAATAAATAAATCTGACTTTAGTTCTACGTAAAATGCTGTTTTTTATCAACTATCTATCAATGCTTTTGCGCATCGCGACTCTGATTGGTTGAACGTTTTGGCAGCACATGCAGCAAAGAAGTCGGCTGGAAATTGTGAACAATCCTCCGAGCCTGCATTTACGATGCATTTATGATGCATATTATGTGAAGGGAGTGGCGGTTGCGGCTCTTTTTTGGTGGCGGTTGCGGATTGATTATTATTTGATAAAAAGAGCCCTTGCTTACAGTTACAGACGCCTTGTGTCTTATGATATATTTTAGGAAAACTTGAAGCTGAATTGTAAGTACTTAACGCTTTATTTGACTTTAAAACTCGAAAATCAAACGGTAAGCTGATGTACCAAAACAAAATATAATTGTGCTATCCGTGTCACATTGTTAAGATGTCACTTGCTCAGTATGTATAAATTTTTGTTAGGTTTTTGTTTATTTATTTGGTCTCACCTCTAATGGGTGCTTGTGTCTAATTCAGTAGGCGGAACTATGGTCAAGCGTACCCATTTTCGGGAACGCATTTTCGTTCCCATGTTTGGGAACGATAAACCCAAATATGGGAACGCCATGTAGGCATTATTTAAAACAAGAAAAAGAACCGTTAAATGACGTCCAAAAAATATAAAACGATCGTGAACCGCCTGATATTTGTCTCAATATTGTTGGGAAAGAGTTTGATATTGTAAGGCCCATCGTAGTTTCAAATCGTTCCCCTATTTCTAAAGCAGTCCATCATCCGGGCCGCGAGCCCAAATTTGGGAACGCTCTCGTACACTGGCGCTGCAAGCGTTCCTTATTATGGGAACGGCGTACCCAAAATTGGGAACGATTTCACCGACGCCTTTCAGGGGCTCTTTTCATTAACAAGCATCACGTCCAACGCCGCAAATTATTGTTAACGCAACAATCATCAGATGACCTTTCCGGCAAGACCGTCGCATGTTTCGCCCGGTCTTCTGCGCTTTTATTCCCGTCGATCTCGCAGCGGGCACGCCCCCCTCTGCAGGATACGTAATTCACAACGCTCAGCGATGTTCAACAAGGTCTTCCATACCTATATCCACCGTCCGCGCCGAGGGTGGAGACATGTCAAGCATCTGTCTGTTTATCACCGATAGTTGACGAGCACAAGGAAGTATCCAAAAATGGGAACGCTGAATATGTTACACCCTCAAAACACCTAGTCCCAATGAAAATCTAGTTTTTTCCTTTCTTGATGAGTGTAAGTGGCAAAAGGCCTGGTAGGATGGGCACGAGGAATGATCGAAATCAGCATAAAAACTATAAATAAGCCACACAGAGCGACCTATATAAGAGAAATTCCCCCAAAACGATCACGCTTAGAAACACGGAAGACAAAAACCACGCTCATGACGCTCCTTATAAAACAACTCTAAACAGCTAGCATCCAAAAAAAATATATCTTTCTGGGATGATAAAATACAGCTGAATAATTTTAAACCACTGAAACTGAGTTTACAACAGTAGTTCGGTAAAATCACTGACGTTCCATGCGGTCGTGCGCCCCGACACCAAATGTCACCAATATTACCCCCGGACTGTCCGCGTGTTCGCTTGCATATGTCAGCATCTGGTGTCGCTAGTATGAAACTTCATAACCAGGCGAAAATTATTATACTTGACCTCAAAATGTAAAAAACGCTTCATTTTCCTTAAAATTGCAAGTTAAATGTAGTATAACCCATGTTTTCACCATTCCGTCATTTCAAAAAATCATTAAAAATATCATTCGACGGTCAATTTCCTTGTGCAACGGTCAGATTAAAGATAATTTTATAGAGACTTAGTAGATACTTAAATTAGCGTGCACTTTTTTGAGACGTGATGCACTAATGAGTTTTAGTGGGCGAACGGCCGAAAAATTACCTTCCGTTCCCATAAATGGGAACGCCCGTTCCCATATTTGGGAACTCCGTTCCCAAAAATGGGAACGTTCCTATATTTGGGTACTCATGACCATAGTTCCACCTACTGAATTACTGGAGTGCTCCTGCTCCTCCTGGTCCTCAATCCCTTATTCCCCCCTAGGTTCCGGTTAAAGTGACAATCTTCCCCACTCTTGGTGACACAGCAGTAGCGGCGGAACACCTTCAATTAAGGGGGGCACTGCCAACTTTTGGTTCCATTCTTTCCATGCAACAGTCAACACCCATAGAGCTAATGTTAATGCCAAAATTCAATGGGGGCACTGTGCCCCGGTGCCCTCCCCATTCCGCCGCCCATGTGACACAGCCTGGAACAATTCTTCTGTGGATCGGGTGGAACTGGGGATTGAATCCAGAACCTTCCACCCCACAGGTTGTGGGATGACGCTCTAACTGAATGTCCCACCGGGGCAGCTTATCTACTATTTTTTTTAAGCCACACACAAAAGGCTAGGATTTATTTGTTAATTTTCAATGCAAATCACTATTTATGTTAAAGACAATAAAGCTTTGCCATTGGATGATACACAGCTAATATTGTGAATATTATCCTTATCCCATAAAAATGATCCTTAAGTTTTAGAGTTCATTGGCTGGTCCAAGTTGATAGCAGATTCAGAGGGGCATTTGGGGAATTTGCCCCCATGCAGTGCACTAAAACTGTTGTTCTCTCTCCAATGCTGTCCATTTTTGGTTGTTTTCCCATCAAAGAATTAATGTAATAAACTTGATAAAACAGTGCTGAAAAAATATGAATAAGTTGTTTATAAGAAGGCGATATTTAAAGTTCTGGAAATCTGATGTTTTTAGCACATTTAGGCAGAAGACATTCCCCCAGCAGAGTCAAGTTAGACTTTTCTGGATCTGGGGCTGGTATTCTGCCCTGGTAGATATCCATGAGACAAATCAGTATCTAATCTGATGATGGAATAACAGAAGTATTAGTCATTGTGATGTCATATTCAAAATACCAAACCAAAGTATTTCACTTTTGCTAGGCTACCTAGTACCTACATTTCCTGACATAAATGTGAAGCTCATGAGATGCAGTTATTGAAACCTTGCTTGTCACCTGGATTTAGCTGATCAGGCTGGTTCACTGGTCATTTTTTAAAAGGAGGTATTATTTAACTTGCTGAAACTGTTACCTTTTTGCTTACAAGTTACGCTCTCACAGTTTTGCATTGCATTAAGAACCCTGTGGCAGTAAGGAGATATATTCATTTTGTTAAATGCTCCTAAATTTTCATAACTATTAAGAATGATGCCCGTTGCCCAATGCCCATACACTTGGATAAATGCAACCAGCAACACTGTATTTTTGCTCTTAGTTGGCTCTTACGATAATTATGTGTGCTGTGCAATATTTATGTCCTCTTCACAGATGTTTTCTCATGGGCGCCTATGACCACAACGTTTGTATCATACCCCGAACCCTCATCATCATCCTCATCATCATCGATGTGTTCTCATTCTCTCTGCCTGCAGAGTATGGCTGTGAACGTGTACTCGACCGGCGTGACGTCGGACAATATGAGCCGGCATGATATGCTGGCCTGGGTGAACGGCTGCCTCCAGGCCAACTACGGCAAAATTGAGGAGCTCTGCAACGGGGCAGCATATTGCCAATTCATGGACATGATGTTTCCCGGTGAGTAGCGGCAGCGGACGCTGTGGGGTGTGGCCTGCATGGTGACGTGGTGTCCCCCTGACAAACAAAGGCTGGGGGATATTGGAACTACCGGAAAAGGCTCAGTAAGGGATATGATAAGCTGCTGGGTGTGATACGTTACAGTCGATTCAACAATGGATGCTCAAGCGTGTATTTATTTGGAAAAATGCTCAAACTAGGAGCAATACAGTAAGTTTAGATATTCGCAATGTGACTTGAGGTAGCTGTACTAGCGGTCGTGACGAGGGGAGGGGGAGTGGGGGGGGGGGGGGGGTCGAGCAAGCTTTCGTGAAATATTGTTTCCCGTTAGTTTTTAATAGAGCAAAGCCTGCTTAACACTGCACGCCTATTGGCCAAACCATGCAATTTCATCCAGTACTGCCAGATTCATCAATCTCCCCCTGTGCGGTTGGTCCTAGATCGGGCTGGGTTCTGAGGCCAGCAGTTGTGCCGTTATCAGTCATGGGTCGATGGCATTCAAAGCTCACTTTGTCCTACTGCGTGCGTGAAGGGAGAGGGGAAGCTCCCCGTCTATCCGAGTCGCAGAGCGCTCGCTGACCACCACCAGGTGTTGGTTGGGCGGCTGTCGGAGAGCCACAGAGAGCTATCTCCGACATCTCTGGTCAGCGCCGCCCCAGACTGCTGTCACGCCGGTGCGCCGCTGCCGCCGTATCGGCCCATCGATTTGACGGAGGGCGGTACTGTTTTGGAGAGGATCACGAGCGCGGAGGCCATATTTGGTATCGGGTTGTTCTCTGTAGTAAGGTTCCCGGAAAATCACCCGGTAGTTGCGTTTCTTGCATTGAGTGCCGTTTACGTACGTATCGTAAGCTGATCTGTAATCCCTCGTCATACCGTTCAGCATCCCATGCTCATTTCTCAGGCACTTTGTCGAGTGCCACGTAGCTTCGTTGCCGTTTTTGCTGTGCCGTCCTGTGCCCTGCGGTTTTCTGCCCTGCCCTGCCATACGGTCTTCACTCCGTGGTCCCGCGATGTATTGTCATCGCGGTCCGCTAGTTGTGCGTCATTCTTTGGTCGGCTGGGCGGCGGGGCGGCTGTTTACCGGTCTGTTGACCCGAGATTCAGCACAGTCAGCGCACCTCCCTCACTTCCTCCTCCCTCTCTCCCCTGTGCCTCTCTCCCCGACTGTGGCAGCAGAGCCGTACCGTGAGAATCATGACTCATTGACTCAGCCTATCGGTACATACTGCAGAACCGCACTGAATACAACAGCTGACCAATGAATGATCAGCTGTTGCTCGGACGGAATGCGGTACCTCTGAAATGGTATCGACTATCGATTCTTGGAAGAGTTTCGTTTTTTCTCTCTCATAGAATAAATTGTGCATTTTTATGCGACCCTGTGCCCATAAAGGCACACAGCGATGACGTATTAAAATCTACCCGCCATGTTGCGCCATTTGTTCTGGAAGTATCTTCAAACTGGTCAAACTTGACGAAATGAGAAATTGAATAACCGCCCTTCCCGTCGTCTTCTTGACCAGTTAGTCCAATCAATTTGATTGGTGTCGTGATTGACGGTAATTGCATTGAAAATAGCCGTTGATCGTGTAAACTTCGACCACCTTCACCTTGGAGCTTTTGGAAATCAATCATTTCCAAGCCCCATGTCATAAATGGAGGTGACGTGCGAGTCGCTCTCTGTCGCCTGCTCTACAGCCCTCTTGTGTCCGTTCTCCCCGATACCAGCCTTTCTGCCAGTCTGAGTGGGCAGCGGTCATTCGTGGAATTCCGACCCTATATTGATCTCTGCCACAGTGCCATGCCACTTAACCCCGCTCCGAGTGCTGATGTCTGATGGTTCCGGTCTGCCGGCCGCCTTCAGTGCAGACCCCTGGTCCAGGCTATGAATGGGAGGGAGGGGAAGGCCACGGCCTCGGTTGAGCTGCAGACCGTCCGTCTGGGGTGGCTCGGACTATGGTGGGCGTGGCCCGAGTCGCTGCAGTGCTCGTCTGGCCGGGTGGGCGGGGATGACGTCACATTTGGTGCAGAGCTGCGAGGGGCGTGGCCGCTTGGTCGGCTGAATGGGCGTGGTCACGCTGCACGGGGCAGCTTCTGGAGGGCGTTGTCGGAGATCATGCGGCCCCGGGCTGATCCTCAGTCTCCAGCTGTGGCTCCGGCTGCCGGTTTCCCGGCTCGTTTGACCTTTGTGAGCCGGTCTGGACACATCATCGCGACAGCTGGCGGCTATTTCGTTACTTCATTAGCGAATGGAACGCGGTTTCTGCACCGAGCCTCATGTATGCTGTTCTACATGGTCGCTGGGCTGCATGGGGGTGGGCGGAGGTAGTCATGCTAAGGGCGAAATAGGGAGCCGACGTCTAAAAATGAGCTCTGGGTGGGAACGGAGCCGGGCTTCTCAGGAGTCAGGACCGAGGCTTGGGCGACTCGGCACCTTGAGGTCACGGCTCAGTACTGGTACAGGAGGGCGATAGTGTAAGTGATCGGGACGAAATAGATAGGGATTCGGTAGTTGCGCAGTGCGCTGAGCAGTTTGATACGAGTGGATTGTGCGGCTACCGCTGGTGGGCGGGTGTTTTCTATCACTATCGATACGGATTGACCGAGATAGGCGACCGATGGTGGGGGTATGGGTAGTGGGGACTGCAGCTTTGGCACTAGCAGTGCGGATGAATGACGTCACGCCGATTTCAATACGTATATTTGGGAGATTTACTTTTACTGGTATTTACATTCAGTAATGCTCTCTTACAAATATGAGTATCTGTTGAGATCCCGTTTAAACAACCGTGTCGCATTCTGAAATCTAACACAATGTTTTATTCCAGGTTCTGTACTTGTTAAAAAGATCAAGTTCGCTACAAAACTAGAACATGAATATATACACAACTTCAAGATTCTACAAGCTTCGTTTAAAAAGATGAATGTCGATAAGGTAAGTGTTTTTAAAATGAATGCATACTTGTTCCAACTTTTTTCTTCATTCCCCAATAACAATAGGCTCGTACTTTCAGTTAGTGACATTTAGTGTAAATTAGGCTCGCAAAGCTCTACGTCTTTTTTCATTCGATGACTAATTCAATTAAAGCACACTTACACGCTGTAGCAATGCTAAACAGGATATCTAATTAGCTAGATGCCACCGTTTCAATCCGCGCAATCATGATCTCTTTACCTCCCGTTTCCTCCCCACAGATCATCCCCGTGGACAAGCTGGTCAAGGGCAAGTTCCAGGACAACTTCGAGTTCCTGCAGTGGTTCAAGCGGTTCTTCGACGCCAACTACGACGGAACCGAGTACGACGCGCTCGAGGCACGCGGCGGGGAGGCCATGGGCGGTGCCGGCGTGGCGTCTCGACTGGGCGGGGGAGGCGCCGCGCCGGCCAAGCGGATCGGCATGGCGCGGCCGGCGCCGCGGGCCGCCGCACCGCGCCCTGCACCCGGTGAGCGAGGGGGGGGGGAGCGTGTCAGGACAATGACAGACTAGGCTGAAGAGGATATATGCTTGATGATTCAATGCTAGAGTAGAATATTAGTCTACACGTGCTGGCGAGTGTGAAGCTCCAAGTCACTGGTTCTGGCGACGCTTGCACAACCGCCGTCTGTTGTCCCTACCCACGCCATTCGGTGATGAGTTATTGCTGGGAAGTCGTTATGTCAATAGCTGGGCTCTACCCACGTCCATTATTCCTTGTGACGCATGGGTCGTCCACCCTCCGTCGGTGCGGGCACGTTTGGCGACCCCTGACCAACGAATCGATCCTTGTACACGTGTCTAGTGTCTGTCGCAGTCCTGGACAGGCTCTCACCACCCGAGGACAGACATCCCGCTCCTCCTCACACTCACACTAGATGTGATACGTGTCAGAGTAGGCCGGTATGGGACCGGTGACTGCCTCTCAGCTGAAATGACGCTGAATCACTGGAACGATGAGCAGTGTCGCTGACTCAGTCACCCCTCTTCCCGTCCCACCCCACCCCCTCCGTCTGCCTGAGGTGGAGGAAGATAGCCTCCCCCCCCCCTATTGCCTCTGTGCTGGTCAACATGCGAGCATATCGGACATTTATCAAATATTTGAGATACATTAAGGTTAGATTAGTTGGATAGATATGTATGCTGAATATGAACCCATTTGGATATGCGTTATTGCAAATGTTTAGTGTTACTGATAGTCCTCTTGATGTCTCTGCATTTCACTAGTCTTGCGTAATAATGTGGGTTGGAGGCATATCTCTGAATCGTGACCATGTATTTGTTAAAAAAGCTCACTTCTATTCGGCTTACTTCGTAGCTTAGTTACGACCACATGAAGGAACAGCACATCTCATGTTGATCCGTAATCTGTTATTGTTTTGTCATCGCTCAGCAATACTGATGAGCCTATCAGCTGCAGCAGATGACGCTGCGCTCCCCGGGTCACAACCTCATATCTATGACATCATTGTGACATGCCCTGACACCGTGTCTGTATGCGTGTGTGTGTTTTAGCGGCCAGCAGGGCGGCGCCGGCGGCGAGAGCAGCGCCCCGCGCGGCGGCTGCCGCAAAGCCAACTGCGCCCGATCACCGCCAGGCGGAGGTAGGAAGTGGGATTGGGGACGGAGGGACAGGGGTCTGTCGGCGGGTCAGAGGGGTTGGGAGGAAGTGGAACAGAGGAGTGCATGGGTCGGTCTGTCCTGGTGTAGCTGCCTGAAATGCGTGTCAATGATGATGGGTTCAGAGTGAGATTAAATGAGTGAGATTCTGAAGGCGCTGTCAGAGAGCCGTGAGATGGAGACAGTGGGATTCACTGGGAATCGGTCCGGCATCATCCAGATCTGCACAGTGCATTATGGCACGACCTCTCCCGTGGCCTAACCTGACCTGAGATATTCTACGTGTGACCTGACCTGGCCTGACTATGTAACTTGCAGTTGGACGAGCTGAACCTGCAGATGGCCGACATGCGACTCAGCGTGGAGGGTCTGGAGAAGGAGCGCGACTTCTACTTCGGCAAGCTGCGTGACATCGAGGTCATTTGCCAGGAGGACGAGTCAGACAACAAGATGATCCAAAGGATCTTGGACATTCTCTATGCCACAGAGGTGAGACATGTGTTATAAACAATGATGTGTGAACTTACTCTACATATAGTAAGACATGGCGACAGCCGAAACGGTGCGGCACTTTGTGATTGGAAGTGGGATTTTTAAACGACATGTTAGGAATTGACCCAGGGAACTAATTTGGTGAATGTTGACACTTGACATTCATATATATATATATATATATATATATATATATATATATATATATATATATATATATATATATATATATATATATATATATATATATATATATATATATATATATATATATATATATATATATATATATATATATATATATATATATATATATACACAACATTAGACTGACAAGAGAACACCTGGTAGAAAACACGTCGATCATCCACTCCAACCGTGACCCCAGACGCGTAGAGATCACAGAGGCCATACACATCAGAGACCACACACCAAGCATCAATGAACAGAAAAACGCACGCCTAGAAAAACTGGCTCTCTGGGGTACAATGCAGCACACATCACACCCACAAACACGCAGAACAACACCAACACAAGCTACCCAACCCGACTAGCGCTATGTGTGACGTGATCATATTTACTGTTGTAGTATAGCGCGCTGAAACTGAAAGTGTTATTTATGATTTTACTCGTGACCTGTATATTGTTTTTCAAACGTGTCCATGTACGCATTATTTGAACGAGTGTCTCACAGTGTACTTGAAAATGAATGTATAATACATTCGAAACGCGTCGAACTTTAACGAATATTTTTACATGAACTTTGCCGATCTGATACATCGTATTGACGAAAACAGCAAGAAAATAGTCAATAAGATCATAAAAACACAAACAAAGCTTTCGAAATGTGAAAGTGCTATTACGTTTAATGGTCTTTGTCTAAAAGAAGATTTATTGCCGAAGTTTACAAACATAATATATATATATATATATATATATATATATATATATATATATATATATATATATATATATATATATATATATATATATATATATATATATATATATATATATATATATATATATATATATATATATATATATATATATATATAGACTTTGGTTCGAAGTGAGACATTGGGCGACCCAGGAGACTCAATGTCCCCAGTACAGGTATTGATGAGATGGGTTAAGGCCGAAATAGACACTTAGGAGGAAATTTCGCATGTGAGGGCCTATTAAATACTTAAGCTCTCGCTGGCATCAGTCGCACGCGTGGAGATACGCTCCATTGATGCGAGCGATAGGTAGGTATCTTATGTATTTGAACGGACTCTCGCGTACGATTTTCTGCCAGAAGAGCCTGTTTCAGCCTTTGGCATTAGCGGAAAGTTTTGTCTTCGCAGCCACTTGCTACGCTTTGTGAGCAAGGGGAAGGCAGCTATTGTCAGCTTCCTTCGGAAGCTGACAATAGGCTCACGCGAATCCACGCGTTTGGTAGCGCCCTGGCTGAGACAATATTTATTCAGGTGTTTCGCAGTTTTTCTATGACGGGTATTGAAAGGCCAGAGTCGCAGGTGCCCTGAGTTGTGAGAAATGCTAAATAAGAACGCAGCGCGCGTTCACAAGTGGCACCGTGTGTGTGTGCCTGTGAGTCTTTTCTGGGAAAGTAGAGCATCAGTGGTAAGAGACGGGCCGGGCCGGCAGGACGGCGTTGGAACTGCAATGGCTCTCCCTAGGGCGCCCAATGGCCGCCCGCCTTTCAGTCTCCTCCGCTTTCCGTCTCCTTGGAGAGCGGCCTTACAATTTGCCGCTAATTAAGACACCTGAGACGCTCAGTGAGCGCTCGGGCTTATGAAGATGGTAGTGTGTGAGGCTTCCTGGGCTGGCAGCTAACTGAACTTCAGTCGTTAAGTGCATTTGATGATATATTATTAAACACACGAGCAAAGGTTGCGACGAATAGTTGTCGGAATTATATTTGAATTAACCTGTCCCTGGTGTAGTTGTACTGTACAGTGTACCTTGCGGTTCGGTCTCTGGCAACCTCTCGGTTAGTTATTAGCCACAATATGATTTTGGGATCTAGCATTTATCTAAAAGGAAACTTTGATTTCAAAGTATCAGGCTATTTGGAACGCGAGTTTCGAAACATTTTGCAGAAGACCGTTAACTCTTCATAGAAAGTTTTGTTTATGATAATGTTTGTTTATATTTATTGAAAAAGCACCAACAGGCAGCATGCCCAATAGTACTCGAGACCCAATAGTGTTCATGCAGTCAAATTTGTGCTGGGATTAGGACAGTCTGCACCCCCCCCCCCCCCCGCGTCGTCCCGCCGTCTGCCCCGCCCGCTCCAGTCCAGTTCGCTATATAAGGGTCAGTTGACAGCAGTAACGAGCTACTCGGCCACGACCTAATGGCCCCATTAGAGCGTAAGTCGGCCGCTATCGCCCATATTCCAGCTAATAAGCAGACAGGCTCTCAAGAGGCCATTGTTACCGGCAAATAGCAAACGCCGCCCTATGGCAGTTGCCGAGAATGCCAGACTTCGGCTACATTCTGCTTTTCATTATTAATATCGGGGCAGAGCAGCAGCTCATTGACACGGTCTCTGAGAAAAGTGCTTAGTGCAAATTGCAACTTCAGTCTTGTTCTGAATGCCAAGTCCATCCAATGATAATTTCAGATGTCGTTGTGACAAATTGCACTAGGTTTTCACTTGTACTTCAAAGCAAAGCGATCTAGACAATTTAACTAACTTGATTTCGCTGCTTCGGACCCGATGAGTTGGATCTAGTTACTATTTTGTCTTCACATCAACGTTTTCGAATGAAAGTTAATGAAATACCTATCGATTTCAGTACAGTTCTCGAGATGGGCGTCTCCCTCGAATCCTACAGTCGGGACCGTCTTGCTCGAATGCGCCGGTGAATGTTGCTGTTGACCCACGCCAGCCTGTGTTAGCGTCACGTGATTCACCGGAAAATCGATGGCAGCTAACGAGCGTCGGTCACGTGATTTGACAAACAGCTGGCTGGCCTACTCTTTGACCGGCAGTGCACTGCTGAAATGTCTGGCTGCATTCACTGACCTCGCGGCACAATTTTAGGCTGCAGGTGTTCGATGCATGCAGGTGTTCTTGTGCAGAACAGATGCATCATTCTCTTCTTTTTTTTCTCTCTTGTTTGTTAGTGAGGTTCAAGTGTGCGTTCAGCGTTGACACCTTTACGTTGCCACCTCTGTGGAGACTATCAATTATATCATCGGAGTACTTTCCCAGCACCGTAGGAAATATGCTGGTTTTGGCGTAACCTTGGATGTCGGGTTCACATGTGTATTCATGTGTATCAGTTGCTGTCATTGTTTCTTGTGATCGTATTTATTGCTTGTTCATCCTTTTATGTGTTAACCACTTTCGTCCGTTTGTTTTAACTATACAGTATCGCTGTGTTGTCCCTCTTTCTGACCCGTGTGCCCCGTCTAACGCCCTCCGTCTGGCCCGTTTGCTCCGTTTAACCCTCGCCCCGTTGGGGGGGGGGGGCCATTTTGGCCCCCCCCCCCCTGTGGTTTTTCCTGAATAGCAAGAAAACGGCGGCGCGCAGCGCCGCCAAATTTTCAGTACCTTCCCGGGCATCAATTTGACACCTTCACACCAAATTTCAAGTCTTAGGTCACCTTAGGTCAGGAGTTATTGAGGTCAAACTGAGGTCATGTTCGAGCAAAAATGAGCAAAAAACATGCAATCTTGAAACGCTCACCAAATCTACAGTTATCAAGCAATTTCAAAGTTCTTTATATGGTCTAGTAGACAAAAAGCAGCGCTACAAAACTGCTATCTCGGATTTTCAAAATTTTTGGTTTTTGACCAAAAAAAATTCAAAAAATTAATTTTTTTAGAAAAACTTTGAAAAAAATCCAAAAATTTTCTGAATTTCGAAAAAAACCGGAATATATGTGATAGTCCCAGCGCTCTTCTATATACATACCAAATTTCAGATCGATATCTCGTTTTTTGGCCAAGTTATAGCGAAAAAACTGTTCAAAAATGATGACGTCAAATTTTTGAACTTAATTTTTAGCAATTCTAGACCACGTACGGCAAAACAAAGACCACCATTGAACTCCCCGTGACGAGCTGCATCGATTCGATACCCATTTTATGCAAAAATATTAACTTTGAAATTTGACCTAATTTGACCTGACCTTGACCTGACCTTGACTTGACCTTGACCAAAACGTGATCTAAGCTGGCCCCAAAGGCTGCCTGACCCATATAATCGCATTTGTCATGGAAAATGGACCATAAAGCATGTATCACACGACACTTTCATATTGTGACCCCCCCCCCCCCCGTGACCTGACCTCTGTGACCTGACCTGGTATCAGTGACCTCAAATAGCAAAATATGTGTTTGAAGAACATTTCCCCATCGATGATTTTCAATGAAATGCATTTTACTCGATTTTACAACGCATTTCTTGAAGTGCCTGTAAACGGTGAAAATTGGACCTTTGACCTGACCTGTGACGTCATCGGTTTGACCTAGGTCAATAAAATTGGGTCACAAGGTAGTTCCCCGTTGGGGCTATCCAACGCCGTTTACCGCTTGTCGCTATGTTGCGTGGTTCTCGAGATCTTAGGGGGGGGGCCAAAATGGCCCCCCCCCCCAACCGGGCGCGTTGCTCGGCAGAGCCCAACGGGGCGCGGGTTAACGCCCTCCGTGTGCCCTGTTTAACGCCCTCCGTGCGCCCTGTTTAACGCCCCTCGTCTGCCGCCAGGACGGGTTCGCGGTGCCGGACGAAGAAGAGGGCGTCCCGCCGCCGCCCGAAGAGGAGGAATACTAACGCGTCGTGCGCATAAGCCTGCGATCAACGGGCGCCGGTGCGGGCCGCGCGGGCCGGCCGGGGCATGTGGAGGGGGTGGGGGCTGGCCACTCACTGATTGACCGCCGCGGGGCGAGAGGGGCTGATCTGCTTTTAACCGTACTACTGTCGGACACCTGGCGGCCGAGGGCCGGGGCGGCGCGGGCCGAATCCGCCGCCGCACCCGCCCGAGCGGCTGGCCTGACGTGTCCTGTGGTGAAATAAACAAGCGCCTTGTTTCTGTGTGATTGGAGTTATCTGTAAGTAGCTGGAGAGTCAGCAGCTCTCGAGAAAATCTGAGAATGAGGCGACACATTTGAGGATGCGACGATTCTGCAATCAGGGATATCTGTAAGAGTGTGTTTGGGTCTCTAAGAGTTCGGAGAATGAGCGGCACTCGAGCTGATCTTCGAGCGGTATGTCTGTTGGGATAGGACTGTTGTGGGCACTGGCCGTATAAGATAAATTAATTTCTTTAACCTCTGACGAGGCTGCGGGCCGTGCGAACAACGTCTGGCATAAATGGATACTTTGTGGCAGGTGTGCGTAGCATTGGCAAGGTCAGACGCCCACGGGTCAGAATTCACCACTGTTGGTGGAGAGGCAACTGCGTCCCCGCGGACTGGGCTGCCTCCCTATCAAAGGGAGCTCCCAATGCTGTCTGGCTTCCTTCAGTTGGAGGAAGAACCACGGTCTTGATAGGACGTCCAGCCCCGTTGGCCCTCACTCCCTGCCGTCCCCAAGAAGGCGGTAATCCTCAGTGCCCAGTCGCTGTTCCCATCACCGATCGACCGTCCTCTCCCGCTCAGAGCATCACTAATTCAGCGGGAGAGCAGGGCCGCATCCAGGGCCGCGACTGACGCCCCGTTTCAGTGACGTCACTGGGAGACAGTGACGTCACCAGGGGAGGAGCGCCAGACGTCGGTGACAATGAGAGATCAATTGCAGGAGACGACACAGCTCGTGTTCAAACGGCTCGAAATAGATCTACTCTGCCATGTGGCGTGATTGAGAGGTGTATTCAAAGGATAGGCCGCATATTTCGTCAGCCTTCATGGCAGCAAGAATAGGATTAGGATCCCAAAGGGTGGGCGGTCGGAACTCGGAACATCATAAGATCATGTGCAAGAACGTTCTAAGAACCAGGTACACATAATGCGCTAAAGTTTAGGAGAGGTCGGACTCCGGCCTACGGGCTCAAGCCATGGAGTGATGATACCTACCATAAAAAATTAAATGGTTATTGGGTATAGTTGCATTGTGAGGGCTGGGACGATAGTGACAGAGGGAAGCGACCGGGAGTCGTTTCCTGTTTTCAGTTTCCTGCTCACCTTCCCTCAAAACTTATTATCAAACCCATTGCATTTCCGTTCAAGACTGGAGCTGGAGCTTGGAAGCTGCACCGGACGCGACGTAGCTCGACGCTCCCCTTCCCCCCACCCTTCCCCGGACACCGACCTCTGTACCACACCCCACCGGTCCCCCGGCGCGGCGGATGGACGCTGCTGTAACGGCACTCTGGCTGCGGTCGGTGACGGCGGTGTCGGGTGTCCCCAGGTGGGCCCCGGGCCTTCACCACAGCCCCGGGTCGGCTGTCGACCGGTGTGGCCATGCGACTGGAGGGCGGTCACCAAAAGGAAATTCTCGTCGTCAGGAGCTTGCTGCTGGTCGGTTCTCTGGATGGAGTCGTCGTGCACGGATGAGCTCGCACAGCGAAACAAAATCAGCTCTCAGTGACAGTCACGTAAGATTAGGTCATATTTTAGCGGCCTCATAAAATTGGACAAAGAGCAAATTTCAAAACGATGGTTTCTGTATTTCCCTAGTGACTTATAATGGTGAGGTGACGTGTCCAACCTGACCTCAGATGAACCTTCTAAAAATTCGAGACACGCAAGCTATGAGAATTGTGAGAATACGGTAGCTACTAGCTTACCAGTTACCTGTTTCCTACTACATTCTGCAAGCTTTATCTTCACGCGAAAGATTCTCTTACAAATACCTAATAATGGCGTTGCCAAGTTGCGGTATCGGGCATTTTTCATTTCTATGTTCATTCATGACATCAAAGGTCAATAAATGTCACCTGGAATGAGATTGGTGTCAGAAGTGCCACATTCAACCAGAAACTTTCAGCTCTTTGATTAACTCTTGCCTAGCAATCGCAAAAAAGAAGGCACCGACCCTCCCCGCGGTCGGGAAGATTTGACGTTTACGTTTACGTCACTCCAATGGGCAATGGTTACCTCTGAACTCTGTGTTACTGCTGAGTGTGTAACTGCTGAGGCCCGTGCTATGCGGAGGGTCATCCCAGCCTGTTTCTGTTTGCTTTATCAGCCTGTTTGTGCGCTCGTCTTACCAGGTCAGCATGGTCCCGAGTAGGTCGCCCTCTGTACCCACGTGGGGCGCCGCGCCACCACACCCCCGCGCCAGGGCCGTCTTTTAGTGTCGGTGTCCGCGCCTGGTCGACAGCAGGCGGCGGTAATCTGACTCGCGTGTTCTGGTCGCCTGTGGCCGCGGTAGACCCCTGACAGCGCCAGTGTCGGACTAGTCCCGCCGCCCGCCGGAACTATCCAGTCAGAATCCCTGTGGTGCTTGTCAACCAGCGGGGATTGGCCGACCTCCCGGTGACCTCTGGGTGACCTCTGAACTGACCGGTCGAGGTCGAGACACGGTCGTATTGTTCAGCCCAGCTCAGCAGAGGTCAACCGTCATCGGCCTGACCTGACCTCTGTGACCCGGCCCCGGACGGAGCTGTAGTCACCGAGCCACTCGAGACGTCTGCCGCCTCCTGAGCGTTTGGCCGAGGAACGCACGGCCGAATCGTCCCTCATCACGACCTTACGATGGCGGCTGCAGAGGGGTAAGTGGGTGGCTGATGAGTGGGCCATTTGTCCCAGCAGGTCTAAATTGTCACTTGGTCGGCAGGGGTCGTCGCTCTGCGAGCCGCCGCAGTGACACGACGGGCTGTGGCTCTCGTGTGGACGGGTTATTACGTCGGACATGATAAACTGGCGGCCGCCGGACCAAAGTGTTCCCAACTGATCTGCCGCTGTAAATTATTCTGGCTCGGGCAGCGTCCGACATCCTGACTGGGAAACTATCAGACACGGGCGGGTGATAAAACTGTCCAACATTTGGTCACTAACGGATCGTTCACAATTTGCACCGCCGGCCGCTCCCGTGCCCGTCGTTTGCGAACGTTTGAACGCAGTGACAGCCACAATCTTACTCGTAAGGCAGGCTTTACTCGGTCCATTTCACCATGTGGCTCTGTTCGCTAGCAACTTCGTTGTATATCCGTGCAATGTCTTTTTTAATGCCTGACATCTGCGATCAAATACCAAATTGACGCATGGAGCTGAAACAAAAGAGATGCAGCTCGTGCAGTGTAAGAGTGAGTTTCGAGTTGCGAGGGGAGGGGTGAGACCAAAGGAAGGGTCATAAGTCTGACCTCACACTTTGTCAGTACATACATATCATATCGCGTCCAGGCTGTGGTCACGCTTAACTTTGGCTTGTTGGCTGTGGGTAAGACCCTAGACGGCAGACCCCCTCCCCCAAGCTCCGTCATAAACAAACGATGAACAACAGGCTATGCTGGGCAGGGTAAATCCGGTTGGGGATTCCTTTGAACGTTCGTGGTAGGCATACATGCATGCCTGTTGGCGTGTTTATGCAGTAGGGTAAGGTGCCTAATTAGCGACCCCCTTAATTTGAACCGCCATTGCTCACGCTCTGTGGGTACAACTGTATTGCTGGCTTGATTTTCGGAGAGATCGTTCATTTTTCTATTAAAATATACTATATAGTCATTTTCTGCCCCAATATCCACTAACTTATTTGAAGTGAGCATTTTGGCAGACCATTGCAAAAAAAAAAAAAAAAACGCTTATAGGGAACTCTTCCCGATTAGCGACCGGGGAGGGTCGCTAATAAGTCTATGGGTTTCCTCATATTGAAAATGGCAAAAAATGCGACGCCTGGAAAGATGAAATATGATCTCAAAAAGGTAACCTATACGCAAAGCACTCAATCACTCGAACAGGAACGTTTATCCAACACATTTACGTAGTACCTAAAAAATGATCACGTGATGCACCGAAGGCGAAAAGAACGCGGTAACCCAAATTTTGCGGGCTATCTCGTATGATATTCGAGGTCCGCGTTGAATTCGGCACCCCTGCAGTCGGTGACGACATTTGGCATCCCCTGCCACACATTGCAAGCTTCAGCAACACCTCATTTTCATTTCTCTCTTTTCACCTTTCTTTCCCTTCTTGAACTATTTGCGACCATGTCAGGCGCAAATAGGAAATATGAGTTGCGACACATGTTTAAAAGCCATGCTGTGCACAGTTGAGCGATTCACTATGGGAAAACGGCAATCAATTGAAAAAGGAATGTCGATTCAGAATAAAAAAGGTGCATCATCCTAATGTGTATCGCTTTTCATCAGAGAGGGCCCAAACACACACGTTTTGGATAAGAAACTCGTCATTTTTATTTAAACTCACCTGAAACGTCCCACCAGAAACATCGACGACGGGAAAATAATTTAATTTGATAACCAAAGTATGGCTGACCTTTTGACGATGTTTTTTACCCCGTTTTCTCCTGCCAGTTTTTCTGTAGGGAGGTAGGTCGCAAATCGGAAAGGGTCGCTAATTAGGCACCTTACCCTACCATCGCCAATATGCATAGATGATAACGTTTATACAGTGATCAAGTGGCCAGGCACTGAGCTATCAGTTATTGATCAGCAAATGATCAGTAAATATGTGCACTAAAAGTGCTTGCAGATGTTAGCTTTACGAGTTCTCAAGCCGGTTAATATACTTATTTAAGTTGTGGCTAATTCACCCCAGTAGGTACTTCTCGTATACGGTATAGTTCGATAAATCAAAAAAAGTTTAAATAAGTTACTGAAGGTAAGTCGTAAGTTACCAGAGTTTAGGATTCTGTTTCAGTTTCGACTACAACGCCATCAATGACGGCGCCAACTACCTCCTAGACAGAACCAAGCACCGACCCACGATCGGCATCATCTGCGGATCAGGCCTAGGTCGGTGGCTTTTCGAGTATCGCATCTCCGCCTCGTGGCTTGTTTTCGGTGACTTGGTAATTTTATATCGCGACGTGCTCTCGTATCTGGTCTCTGGAGACCATTCGCGTAGGGACTCTGAACTCATTCAGGACTTATTACTTACATAACAGTAACACATAAAAAAAACAAAAAAAACTCAATAGATGCGAAGCGTGTAAAAGTTCACCGCACTTTGAATTACTTTTACGTTCTTTTATTTATGTTTCTCATATTTTATTTAGATAATGATCATGCTGGACAGACAGCTTCTTCCCTGTGACACTCCCCTCCCTCACCCCTCCATAGGTAGCCTCGTGGACCACCTGACGGAGCGCGAGTCGTTTTCTTACGAGGATATTCCCAACTTCCCCGTGTCGACGGTGCACGGCCATGACGGTCGGGTCGTCTTTGGTCTGCTCAACGGCGTACCCGTCATGTGTATGAAGGGTCGAGTGCATCGTTATGAAGGTTACCCCATGTGGAAGGTAGGCGACTGGATTGTATGCGGATTTAGGCTTACTTTACAAGCCACCGGAATTACCCAACGGTAATGTGTGCACACTATCATTGCAACATGAACATCAATTAATTGATTCTGTTAATCGACCAGTCAAACAACACGACCGTTCAAATCCAGACTGATTGCTGTGACATCAGTGCAGAGGGTACCTATCTAGATATGTCCGGCCCGGCTATGCTGTGACACGCTCCAGACAACGTCCCGCAGCAGATGGCTTCCCAATGACGTCACACATTGATGACGTCACCGGTCTGTTACAGACCACCGTGCCGATTCGCGTGATGCGGCTGGTTGGCGTTAGTGACGTCATCATTTCGACGGCCACCGGCGGACTGAACCGTGGATACAAGATCGGTGACGTGATGATCATCAAGGACCACATCAACATGCCGGGATTCTCGGGCGACTCACCGCTCATCGGCAAGAATGATGAACGGTGAGCGTCCAGCTCTCTTCTCTGTGATGGAGATGGAACAGCGAGCGTCCACCGTTTGTCGATGGGAACGATGCACGGCAATCAGCATTACCCGCGTTGCTCTGTGCTGCATGTCGTCTTTCTAGTTTTATGTTTAAAGCGACTGTTGGTTCACAGCTTTATTGATTCGCTAGACTAAAGGGCAGCATTGTATTTCATTGTCTCACATATTCAGCATTCACACCCGTCCCTGATTTTTGATGAAACGGATCTCATTTTTGTCGCAGTTTCGGGCCTCGGTTCCCGGGCATGTCAAACGCCTACGACAAACAGCTTCGTCAGGAGGCCAAGAACGTGGTGAAGGAGATGGGTATCGAGGAGAGCGTCCACGAGGGCGTGTACGTCATGCTCGGGGGGCCCTCCTACGAGACGGTGGCCGAGCTGCGGCTGCTCCGGCTGCTCGGCGCCGACGCCGTCGGTAAGAGTTTTACACATAAAAGATGTTTTCAAAATTCAAAATATACATTTGTTCATACATCGATTTTAGTAATCTAAGTTCTTGGGAACTCTGTTTTTATAGGATTTTTTTCTCATATTTATTCTAAATCAAATTCACAAGACACAGTACATGTTCACAACATCTCAACACTATACCACAAACTTCCATGTCATCCTGCCCGCCCCGCATCGCCCCGCGGACTGTTTTGATAAGATATTCTAAAACAAAAACCAAATACTTGTTTTTTGCCGTGAACTTCTATCGCCGTTAAGTAAGTATACATGTATAAGGAAGTGGAAACGATTATCAATGATTCATGAAATGAATTGATTTCACACAAAAACGATGTTACAATTATCTTTTTAATGGCTTCTCTGGTTTAGTTTCTTGAGATTTTTTATTGCTGTCTAAGCCACTTGAGACTTGTTAACGTCAAACATAAAAGAAACAGAAGCACCGTCCATTTGCCATGAACGGATATGTTTATTAGAAATGTTTTTGTATGCTGTATCAATGTGTCAATGAATAATGAATATGTCGTCATCGAATAATGGTGAAAGCACTTTTCACTTGTAAATTATATTAGCCTTTCGAGGTTCACAGAGGCCGCGCTCCGTTCGTCCTAAACGTTCACCTGTGAGGTAGACTGACCCGCCCGACACAGCTGCAATGCGGCACAGCTGGTGCTTCAGGGAACTCAGTCGCAAACTGCATAGAACGTAGTGGTGACATTTGTCGGCAAATTTACATAAAAAACACGACCGTCTACAGGCTAGCACAGCTGGTTAAACAGCACCGATGTAGAACAGTTGAGGTCCATGTAAATATTTTATATCTCTCTCTCTCTCTCTCTCTCTCTCTCTCTCTCCTCTCTCTCTCTCTCTCTCTCTCTCTCTCTCTCTCTCTCTCTCTCTCTCTCTCTCTCTCTCTCTCTCTCCTCTCTCTCTCTCTCTCTCTCTCTCTCTCTCTCTCTCTCTCTCTCTCTCTCTCTCTCTCTCTCTCTCTCTCTCTCCTACCTTGCTCTCTGTTTTTGCTGTGCTTCTTCTCGGCTTCCTATCATCTTTCCTGACCTGTGTCCAGAAAAGTAATTCTGCCTGCCACCCATCATTTCTACTTGTATTACTGACCTGACCTAAGTAACAACCCAATTCCATCCGACCTTACCCGACCTGATGTGACCTGACTCGGCCCTCCGACAGGCATGAGCACGGTGGCTGAGGTGGTGGTGGCGCGCCACTGCGGAATGCGCGTGTTCGCGTTCAGCCTTATCACCAACAAGTGCATCATGGACTGGGACACGGACGACGAGCCGCTGCACACCGAGGTGATCGCGGTGGCCGAGCAGCGAAAACACCACCTTCAGGAGCTGGTGGCGCGAATGGCCGCGCGCATGGTTCAGAAATGACGAGACAGCGGGGAGAGAGAGAGAGAGAGAGAGAGAGAGAGAGAGAGAGAGAGAGAGGGAGAGGGAGAGAGAGAGGAGAGAGAGAGAGGGAGACAGAGAGAGACAGAGAGAGAGAAAGAGCGATAGATAGAGAGAGAGAGAGAGAGAGAGAGAGAGAGAGAGAGAGAGAGAGAGAGAGAGAGAGAGAGAGAGAGAGAGAGAGAGAGAGAGAGAGAGAGAGAGAGAGAGAGAGAGAGAGAGAGAGAGAGAGAGAGAGAGAGAGAGAGAGAGAGAGAGAGAGACGAGCTTGTAAGGAGCGGCGGCTAACATGTTTATTTGTTGAGAGAAAGGTAGGTGTGTTTGCTGAGAACATGCGATGTGCATATGCTTACAGCATAGCGCGCTACTATGTTAGCTGAGTGTCCTGTATCGGTTGAATGTCATCATGAGTAGCTGTTATATCGTTGCAGCTACGTGTCATTCTGAGCGGGATGAAATATCCTGGTCAGCGAAGCATACACGATGTAAATTACTTAACACAGAAGGGAACGCTTTAACCCTCGCCGGACCTATCGGTTTTCTACATACGCGCCGGCCGAGGGGGGGGGGGGCGGGTACGACCCCCCCCTCGCCGTTTCGCCCCTGGTGGAGCTAGCGCGTCGCGGAAAAAACGAGCGTGTGCGCCGTTACGAGACGCAGAGATTGGTACCCGATTTTAAGGTCCTAGGTCAACCGGTGACCTCTGAGGTCAGGTCAAGTGCCCCAAGGTACGGTTCAGTTTTTGGTGAATAACTTCGCAAAAAACGGCCGCAGAGCGCCGATTTTGGCAGCATCGTGTTCGTCTCGCTCAGGCGCGTCGAATGATATACTTTTTGTCCGGGTCAGGTCAATTTGGGGTGTTGACCTCAGGTCAAGGTCAGGTCAGCACCCCCAGGTCACGAAGTTGGCCGAAAGGGGTCATGTCGCATATCATTCGATTCGGCAGGTCTTCCTGAGTCCATTGGTGGCTTTCCCGACTCGCTAGCTCAATTTGATCAAGAGTTATTGACGAAAAACTAATATGACCTTGATGACGTCATAAATGACGTCACGCAAGGTCAACATTGCAAAAGTGACGCATCTAACCTTGCAAGGAGTGCATCAAATCACGATTCTGTGTGCTTGAGATAGTTGGAGATCGTTCCCGGCGCCAGAATAGCAGTTTGAATTTTTCCCCATTGACTTATAATGGTGAGGTCACGAAAATGACCTGACCTCATATGACCTTTAGGAAAAATCCGAGATATACAAGTTGTGGGACTCATAATGGATACTAGATCCTGCAAGTTTCATTTCCCTGTGACATCTCCTCTGGCAGTGAGGGCGTTGCGAAGTTGCGACATCTGAAGACCGTGCAGAGGTTCACTTATGACGTCATAGGTCAGTGACCTGACCTGACTCAAAAATGCGGTTGGTGTCAAAAGATCCGGCTTGGATCAAAGGTCAGGTATGCCAAGTTTCAGCTCTCTATCGCCAGCGTGTTCGGAGCTATCGCGAAAAAACCCTATGGGGGGGCGGCACCCGCCCCCCCCCTCGGCCGGCGAGGGTTAATAAACGGCTTGCATGCCTAGTGCCTATCTTTATGTGACAGGTGTTGGGTATGCATGATCCTTAGGAATTGCTTATCTGTTCAATGTCCCTTATTTACTGATAGGTAGGTGATTGACGTGGACATCGTGGGCCTATGCTAATAAATGAGATATCGAAATGCTAGGGTGGTGTAACGAAACTGAAAAGATCGGGTGGTGTGCCAGACAATACATATCTTGTGCAATGTGCATTGTATTTGAGTCTGCTGATGTGTGCCTGTGTGTGTGTATTCATTCATACCGCCCTCTCCTGCTCCTCGTAGCGTGGGGCTCCACGCATAAACGCCAAACCAGCCTGGAGGAAAATATTACATTATTATAGGTACCTACACTCCTGCTAACTCCGAAACCGTTGATGGTAGAATGTTTCTAATGACAAACCTGACGTCAACACTTACAAATTGCAAAAATGTTTAAATGCGTTTAACAATTAGTGTAGGTGATACCTAATCAAAACAATAAGCTTTCGGTTGCAAGTTGCAACTATGTTCGCTTACCTCTCCGTTGAGAATCGAATGAATGTAGATGTAATGGTGAAGTGGAAATTGTGAGCAAGGTCACGATTATGGCCAAAATAAGGCGTCAAAAAGGAGTCATGTGTGATCTGCCACGAGAAAAAGTCCCGAGCCACCGTTCCCTGGGTTTGCGTCATGCCGACGCGTTGCCACGTCAGCGTGATAAACAACGCCTCACCATCACCGAAGGCATCGTATGATATCGCGCGACCGCTATCTCCCGTGGTGTGCTGCGTCAGCCTGCGAAGGACCAATGAGAGGCGTCCGGCCGGGGGCGTGTCGACCAATCAGGGGCCGACACGGCGGGGTGTGTTCGCTCGGGGCTGAGGTCACCTTCGAGACCGGAGCCAGCTTGTTTGACCTTCCGACTTAGAGAGGCCGCAGCGCCGCAGGAATTTGGGCCCCGTTAATTAAGTAAAACGAGTGCAGCCATCTCGCCAGCGGCCACCCATGCAGTGTTGCTAAATCGGAACAAGATTATTGGCTTCATGGAACCACAAATGAAGTCACCTACTGAAGCATCAAATCTTTAAATAACCTTCTGAAATGCAGCGGCATAACCGTTAAAGGAAATAGTTCACTTTTTAACATGGGTTTTGAACTGGAATAGCAGTTCCGTAGCTTGGGCTGAGACGAGCATAAATCAGGAGCTTTTACAGCCCAACGATCACCCTAGGCAAAGATATTCTATTTCTCGTCCCGAAAAAGGTGTCTTGCGTTGAGGATGTGTGCCTTGCATATATTTCCATCCAGTATGAAAAGAGCATGGGTCCCGAAAATTCTTCAGAAACTAGAGAAATTATCTACGAGAACTCTAGAGAAATTCTCGTACTGATCAATTAGGACATTCAGGGGAACATTATCAGATCGAGCAGATCGCCCAAATGCCGGTGGCTGCGATAATTTCTCTGTTTCTGAAGAATTTTCGGGACCCATGCTCTTTTCATACTGGATCGCGTGTGCCTTACAGAAGCTGAAAAGTTCTTCCTATATCAAAATATAGAAAAAAAAATCTTTTGTTATAAAAAGGTTTTATTTTCTTTGCTGATTATTTTGAACATAAAAAATCATAAATCGTTGCAAAAAAAAATAATTTCGTGAAAGTGAACTATTTCCTTTAACGTGATTCATGTTGATTTTAGTGTTGACCAAAGATGACGTAGGGCTTACATTTGAGGTAGGTCGGGTTAGGTCAGGTTATTCCCTTAAGTGCACTGTATGGCGCGTCAGCGTAATATGGCAGACATCGCTCGGCGAAAACCCTGACCCGTCGAGTGGGGCATTTGCTTTTTTCCCGTTCCTCTGAGAAGGGAACGATGCCCACGCTAGGCTCCAGTGTCCGTTATAATGCATAGCTAGGGCTATTTATGCCGGTTGGACCGAGACATAATGAAATATTTCTCCTTCATGGTCAGGTGTCTTGCGGAATCATATGTGGATTGAAGCTCATGATGGGTCAGGTCGCAGTCTCCTAATGGGTCAGGCCGCAATAGATCGCTTCTCCCAATGGGTCATGTGCCAGAAGATTCTCTCTTACTCGGCCAGCTGTCACATTTGCTGGTTTCTCGAAATGCCTCCTCAAATGGCTTTGCTTTTTTGGGTCGGTTCACTGCGGATTGTCCTCCCCAGCTGGGTCGGTTCACGGTAAACAATCAAATCCTGTCCTAGCTGGGTCAGGTCAGCTGCGTTGCCTGTCGCCACATGGATTGGGTCATGATGCCGTCTGACCCCCCTCCCCCCCCCCCCAGCCGGGCTTGACGACGGTCAGCGGCCCCCTGTGATCTTTTCCTGGTCCCAATAAACATTCTGTGGTCAGTCTGATTCCGAGCTTCCGATTTTCTTTGAAGAGCCGCACCCGTTGCCAGACATCGATAGTGATACGGGGCCATTCATTACGGTGATGTTCTGGTCCCAAAGATAGGAGTCGCTTATCGAAGCGGCCGACTGCTTACAGTGCTGCTGAATTTCAGCTACATGAAACACACACGAGGCGAGGGCTGGCCAGACTCGAGTTCTGCTGTGATAATGATAAGGTCACATCTTATTGATGGCATGGGTGTTGTTTTATATAATCCTGTTAGGGTCTATGTAGGGTATATTATATAACCCTATACCATTTGGCATTTACCAATAATTTCGGTATTTTAGCATTAGTCATATGGCGCTGCATGACTGAAAATGGCTTTGCTATCCTAAACCTAATCACTTCATCCCTACCAATAAATTTCAGTAAGAGATGCTCGTGTAAGTTGACATTGAAAACAAATGTTTGGGTATTTTGGGGCGTGATTATTGCGACAAACTGGATAATGTAAAGTTGATATAGTTTCCATCCATTTATTGTAAAATGTATAATGTATATAAGTACATAAGTACATGGGTAGAAATGACTTACATCATAGAGACTGTTCCCGCTGACCTCTGATGACCTGACCCTCGCAGTGGCCTAAAATATAACCCTATCTCCTTTTCAGAAACCTCTTAACGGTGGAAAGCTGCTTGCCAATTTTTGTATACCTACAGTAGGACACTCGCTTCGATGTAATAATAAGACCAGCATTCAGCAACGGATGATATGATGTGCTGTTATCGAAGGTGATGAAGGTAAACTGCACTTCTTTTATCTGCAAACGTATCGATTTACCGACCAGTCGCCACTGAACCTTCTTTATTTTTGTTTCTGTGATGTTTGGAATATTTGAACCTTTAAAATGTTACCTAGTTGATAACATAATTTCACCACAACCATTGCGGTAAGTTCTTGCCCATTTCTCAGTACTGTCTCCTTTGCCGTGTTCCTGTTAACGCTTATGCATGCATAGAGAAGAAGCAAGTTTCTACCTTCTGATTAGGTAAATGCTGGTAAATGTGCTGCACTTTCATGACTTTGGGTTTCTGAAGCTCGTAAACGGTGTGCATTTGTGCCTTTTGCGCGCGATTCTGAAGCATTCAATTACATGGCACGCAAGGCTTGTATATCTGGGCGGGGACGAAAACAAGAGATGTTCAGCGGACAGCGGCTATAAACAATTATAGAGCCAACGTCGTATTTTCTGTTCTGCTTCTCTACCTTGTCTGGTAAGAAAAATAGACCAAATGAATTTGTTTATAAGCAATGTCAGATGGCATGCCTTTCTGGAGCTGCCTAACATTACCCAGTAACGTCTTGTTATCAATTATGATAAAAAGGCAAATACGATGATGGCATTCAGGCAGGTCGAGTCACAGTGCTGTAAGTCAAATATTGATAATCGGCAGTCCTGGACGGAAACGAAAAACAGTCGTGGCCTCCATACATAGACCACCCTGCATCCCCAAACACTACGTGCGCTCAGAGGGAATGTGACCAGGAAAACTGGTCATGAAGCTGGCCATAAGCAGTAGGTACGCCCGCAAACCAGGGTCTTTGTTTTTGTAAATGCTGTTGATGCGACATTTTATGTGTGTAAACGACCTTATTACAACAGCCTTTCATGATTACCAGGAGCTTTCGCGGGAGCACTTCAACTCCCTTCGTGAACCAGATCAATACATGTCGAAAAGAAAAAGAAAAAGAAACACTAACACAGCAATGCAAATCATCGAGATGTCGTTTGAAGTCGAGTCAAACACAAATCGAAATGTGCCACATTAAACGTAGGGTAGTCATATAATTTTATGGATTTTTAATGCCGTCAGAGGTCCAAATAATCAGTAATCAGTGTCTGCAATTAATGAAAGGAAACATATAAATATACCATATACATATACACCTTGCGTAGCTAATACCCAACTCACAAGACATACCTAAGTTATTCATTGAGAACTCTATTTTCGTTACGGAGTCGATTTGTTCGTTTCCGCCTTATACCGGTGGCAAAAAGCGGAAACATTCCCAACTTTTAGGCTCCGATGATAAAGTTACTTGAGTTGATTGCATAAGAAATCGATTTTTAACATCTGACAACGTTGAAAACATTGCTCCTACAAAATTTCAAATATTTCTGACCATTCTTTTTTCGTTTATTGCTTTGAAAGTAAGGAAACATCCCAATTGACTTTTCCGCGACGGTTTTTTTTAACAGTATGCGCTTGAGATTGGATCGCCCCTCCTTCGGTGCGGGCCAGAGTTCGATCGGCGCTTTCTGCTACAGGATGCTTCGGCTGATACTGTTCGTAGGCAGCTTCCTTCACGTACATAGTTTGTATGACTGCTCTTAGGGTTCTAACCAGCGCTGGACAGTGCTCCTGTAAAAATTGTAAAATATTGATTTGTCTGGGATGGGCACCCGGCTTGCTCTCCTGCACGATAAGAACAATGACTTGATTTCGTCTCTGCACTTTAATTTCTAGAGAACCAGTATAACGCCTTTTGGGGCGACTAACGGAGCGAGCGAGAGGGTGGACCTTGCACGTGCGAAATTGCGAGGGGGTACCTCCAACTGACTTGTGCACGGCACCCTACTAACTGGTCTCTAGCGATGTGCCAAATTTGGGCACAATCGGCCCAGCCGTTCTCGAGATCTGGAAGCGACACCCTGCACGTGCGCACGTGCAAAATGGGTCCCAACTGACTTGTGCACGGCACCCTACTAACCGGTCCCTATCCGTGTACCAAATTTGAGCGCAATCGGTCCAGCCGTTCCCGAGATCTGGAAACGACCCCTGCACGTGCGCACGTGCAGCAGCACCCCAACTCTGGCACATGGATATGCAGTCCCTACTGGGTGCCTACCTACATGCCAACTTTCAGCGCAATCGGCCAAGTAGTTACCGAGATATTGCAACAATTACAAAACTGACACCTCTTCGTTTTGCACGAGGCACGTGCATAAGGGGTCACCTACATGCATCGGGAATAGTCCAATACTTGGTAGCAGGAATGAAGCTACCCTACAAAAATTACCTCGTGTAAATCGGTCAAGTGGTTGCTGAGATATAAGCCTCGCAAAAGCGTGACCACGGCCGGCCGGCCGGCCGCTCATACTCAGAAATTTCCGTTAATCTAAGGAAAGACTACGCTCGCTTCGCTCGCTCCGTAACAAAGAGCATAGACGTCCGTAAACATGGGTAGAGGTACTATTCAGTTTACTCAAGCCTAATGTTTCCGTTTCCAGCTAAATGATAAACGTTAATTGATTTTTGGCTTCCTTTAGTTGTAATTTTATACTAAAGAAGCACTGCACCCGGCTTTTTGCTACATTTTGAAAAAAGGTGAGACTTTGATGATTGGATCGTTTTTTAGGGGGGGGGGGCACCCGGTATGCATGTTAACCCTCGCCGGACCTATTGGTTTTCTACATACGCGCCGGCCGAGGGGGGGGGGCGGGTACGACCCCCCCCCCTCGCCGTTTCGCCCCTGGTGGAGCTAGCGCGTCGCGGAAAAAACGAGCGTGTGCGCCGTTACGAGACGCAGAGATTGGTACCCGATTTTAAGGTCCTAGGTCAACCGGTGACCTCTGAGGTCAGGTCAAGTGCCCCAGGGTACGGTTCAGTTTTTGGTGAATAACTTCGCAAAAAACGGCCGCAGAGCCGCGATTTTGGCAGCATCGTGTTCGTCTTGATCAGGCGCGTCGAATGATATACTTTTTGTCCGGGTCAGGTCAACTTGGGGTGTTGACCTCAGGTCAAGGTCAGGTCAGCACCCCCAGGTCACGAAGTTGGTCGAAAGAGGTCATGTCGCATATCATTCGATTCGGCAGGTCTTCCTGAGTCCATTGGTGGCTTTCCCGACTCGCTAGCTCAATTTGATCGGGAGTTATTGACGAAAAACTAATATGACCTTGATGACGTCATAAATGACGTCACGGAAGGTCAACATTGCAAAAGTGACGCATCTAACCTCGCAAGGAGTGCATCAAATCACGATTCTGTGTGCTTGAGATAGTTGGAGATCGTTCCCGGCGCCAGAATAGCAGTTTGAATTTTTCCCCATTGACTTATAATGGTGAGGTCACGAAAATGACCTGACCTCATATGACCTTTAGGAAAAATCCGAGATAAACAAGTTGTGAGACTCATAATGGATACTAGATCCTGCAAGTTTCATTTCCCTGTGACATCTCCTCTGGCAGTGAGGGCGTTGCGAAGTTGCGACATCTGAAGACCGTGCAGAGGTTCACTTATGACGTCATAGGTCAGTGACCTGACCTGACCCAAAAATGCGGTTGGTGTCAAAAGATGCGGCTTGGATCAAAGGTCAGGTATGCCAAGTTTCAGCTCTCTATCGCCAGCGTGTTCGGAGCTATCGCGAAAAAACCCTATGGGGGGCGGCACCCGCCCCCCCCCCCTCGGCCGGCGAGGGTTAATTGTCATCCTTTATCTTTCGTAGTCTCCAGTTCGTCTCGTATGTTAGAATGTTTATCTCTCTCCGCCTAAAAGAGTGTTCCGTTTTCGAGGCGTATTTTTAAATGTCTGAGTGATTGTAATCCCGTTCCTGATAGCTCTCGCGTATATAGTTTCCATGGTTTTAGTGCTTCTCCCTGTCTCACCTAGGCATACACCTTTTTTACACATGCACTCATAGTGGTAAACCATACTGTAGTGTTGGACCTCAACGGTGACTCAGTGTTTGCCTCCCTCAGGTGTGTTGGCCTCTCAGCAACGGGCTGTGAATAAACAAGCTAGGGCAGACGACTTCTTTACACTGGCGACGAGGATGTCACTCATCCCTGATGCCGGCCTTCTCGGATGACACGCCGGACGCCATCAACATCAAGGAAGTCCAGGAAGCGACTGCGCGAGACCCGCAGAGCCAAAAGCTGATCAAGTGCATCCAGCAGGGCTACATCACTAGGGACCCAGACCTCGACCCGTTCCGCCAAATCTTCCGAGAGTTTAGCTTCAATCGAGGAGTTCTCCTACGCGAAGACAGGCTCTACATCCCCGCCTCTGAGCCTGAACCTGGGGCTGGGAGCCTCCGACAGCGGGTGGTTGAGCTCGCGCACGAGGGCCACCAGGGGGTTGGCCGGTGCAAAAGGCTGCTGCGAGCGCAAGTCTGGTTCCCTCACCTGGACGCGCTCGTCGACGAGAAGATCTCCAAGTGTCTGGCTTGTCAAGCCTCGACGTTCACTCCAACCAGAGACCCGCTAAAACCGACCCCCTTGCCAGAACGCCCATGGCAAAGGGTGGCAGCAGACTTCTGGGGTCCTCTGTCGAGTGGAGAGCACCTCCTGGTCGTCATCGACGAGTACAGCCGCTATCCTGAAGTAGAGATCACTTCTAGTACTAGCGGGCTGGCGACCATCCCCGTCCTCGACAAGATATTCGCAACCCACGGCATCCCGGAATCAGTGAAAACAGACGGTGGCCCCCCATTCAACGGACACGACTTCGCCATGTACGCGCGCTGGGCTGGCTTCACGCACCGCAGGGTCAGCCCCGAAGACCCAGAGGCAAATGGCCTTGCAGAGGCCTTTATGAAAACCATAAAGAAAACATGGCATACGTCCCGCATCGAAGGGAAAAATCCCAAACAGGAGTTGTACAAACTCCTACGACAGTACCGCGCAACACCGCACCCCAGCACTGGGAAACCCCCCGCGGAACTGCTCTTCAACCGGCCGTTTCGCACCCGGCTGCTGACAGCTGAGAGGCCAACACCTGGAACACCGTCTCATGACGTGCAGAAACACGACGCACGGGCGAAGGATGTACAGAAGGCCTACAAGGACACCCCAAGAACGTGCGACCTCACAACATTCAAACAGGCGATACGGTTCTTCTGCAGCGCCGGTCTACCAAGACGGCTTCACGCTACGACCCAGAGCCCTACAAGGTCGTCCAGATGAAGGGAACGCAGATTACCGCCACCCGCGGTGGATCTACCCTCACCAGGGACTCGCAGAAGTTTAAACGGATCGTCCGTCCCCAGCGCCCCAACTACAAACGGCAGCGCTTTCCACTGACGCTGCATGGCAACAGCGACGAACCGCGTCTGGGATCAGACTGGCCTACCCCCCCAGCCACGGTCAACGGCGCGGCAGGCCCTCCACACGCTACGGCCGAGACCTCCAGGCCTGCGGAACTGCCCCCGCCGCCGCCGACCGCCGCCGCCCCGCCCAGCCGGCGCTCGGCCCGAGCTCGCCGGCTGCCCTCACACCTCGCGGAATACGATCTCTCTTGAGCGTGCGGCACCGCCCCCCCTCCCTTCCCACACATATAACTTAAGAAGCGCAGATTTTGTTCGCCGCGGCATTGGCGGCCACGGCCGTACTGGCGCGGCCAAGCCGTCGGGCGGTGTTATCCTGTTCGGCGTTATCTCAGGGAGCGTCTTTTCTGTTTTGCTTTTGTTGTGGATAGCTTTCGAAGACGTGGTACTCATGCCTTCCTCATGCATGTTCGTTCGGCCCACATTTCGCGCTGCGAGTAATCACTGGTTCGCCACGCTTCAACCCCCTCCATATAGGTGCGCGGCCACCGCTGGTGTTGTGTTGTTGGACCTGAGGAGGGGTGTAGTGTTGAGCCTCAAGCTCCACATCACTTAATGGCTGTGCTGCAGCTCCCTGTGTTGACCTGAGGAGGGGTGTAGTGTTGGACCTCAACGGTGACTCAGTGTTTGCCTCCCTCAGGTGTGTTGGCCTCTCAGCAACGGGCTGTGAATAAACAAGCTAGGGCAGACGACTTCTTTACACATACCCGCATGGATCTTCTCTGTCGCTTATCCTTTGCCTTTATTATAAACATTTTTTTTTTAATTTATCCCTGGCTTGCTGGCGACCGTTCTGCATGATGTCAAAATTCTCGTAACTCTTTCAGCAGCCCCGCACGTAGGAAAGGGCCCCGGCCACCGCTGGTTTTCGCTTATCTCCTCAAGCAGCCCTGACTTTCCCAGCTTGATTTTTTTTTTCTGGGAGTCCTGTTTACAAGCCGTTTTGGATAATTGTTGACCCCCAACGTCCGGTTCATGTGCTTGGTCTTCAACGACCTGCGAATGACGGTCTCCTTGTTCTGAACACTATGTCGGGACGTGAAATCTAGACATTTGTCCGTGTGTGTCATTTCCGGCGGACCTACGGTACGATAGCTACGCATTTTCCTTTTGACTCAAGGTGATATAGCTAAACGCGAGAGACTCTGCAGAGCCCCCCGCTCCCCCCCCCCCCCCCAAGTCAAGCGTGGGTATATTGAAAAGACTCGCATCGCGCTTTTCTCTCGTTGTTTACGAGAATCATTCGCTCTGCCAGCCGAGCTTCAGGACAAACAAGAATGATGAAGGAGTACTTTGCAGTATCCTCAGCTAAACACACATTATTCAATAAAGACGATATCAATTTATTATACCATTTACACGTTGCCATCATGCACAAGCAACAAATGGAGACGTGAACAAGACACACAACGTTCTTTCAACCGATGTACATGCTTCTAATGAACATTGCACAGAGCGACGAGAAATGCAGAAACATGGAACAAAACGTGCCTACATCAAGGAAAACATTATGAATGCATTGGTCCGCCTGAGATTTTGAATAAATGTCACAGAAGCCATAAAATGCTGATTTTCTCAGCGATAATGAGACGCAAAAGATGAGAAAGACAGAGACGAACACCAAAAGCATCATCGCATTTTGATTGTTTTCAAGGCAGCAATTAAAAGCAGGTGGAAAATAACAGTTACATAAAACGGAAAACCGTGTAAATGCGCTTACAAAAACTACGAGCTGCTAATGCACCGGAAGTTCTGAGTTTTGATTTAGGCTGCTCATCATTGTTCGAGACATTGGGAATGTTTCAGACCAGAGGCTGGCACTACGCATGATATGAACACACTAAATAACATATACGACGCTAAACAAGTCACTACTGGAATCATTGCCTCATCAAAGCGAGGCGGATAGGTACCCAATCGTCTTTTGCGTGCTACCGAAATACAAAAGGGCAGTTGCTACAAGCCATATACTTTTTGATTATGTGGAATGCATTTCTATGGAATGCATCGAACAATCAATTAAAAAAAGATACTTCTTTCACCTGACAACGAGAGGGACAATGCTGAAGCTTTGCAGAGGTTCACTCTGAAGTCCCAAATAACGAAGTCTGGCCTCTGCGGTTGGGCTGAGCCTATAACCAGTAAAACTCCAACTCAATTTTAGCCAGCTCCAAACAACAGTTTAGCTTAAGCTCGATCGTGCCACCCGCTTTTCCACTACCTCTCCTGCACCCCAGCCTCGGCTCTCGTCATAGTCTTTGCTTCAGCCTCTGTCACACCTCCTCAAGAAGACTAGACACCAGATAGCTCTTTATGAGCCACGCAGGAAGCCTAGCGGGGCCCGTGGGCTCTCACATGACCGGCGAACGGCCCCGGGTGGGCCCTCACTGGGCCATGCGGGCCGCCATGCGCCCCACCAGCTCCTGTAGGTGGTGTTTGCGGGCGTTGGCAGCGGCGATCACCTCCTCGTGGTTGGCCTCCTCGTCCGAGTCCCACTCCATGATGCATTTGTTGGTGACCAGGCTGAACGCGAACACGCGCATACCGCAGTGGCGCGCCACCACCACCTCAGCCACCGTGCTCATGCCTGTCGGAGGGCCGAGTCAGGTCACATCAGGCCGTGTCAGGTCACATCAAGCCGTGTCAGGTCACATCAGGTCGGGTCAGACTGAGCCGCGAGAGGACGGCACTTCACCCGTCCATTGCCGGTGGCGGTCTAAATTGGGACCGCAAATGGAATGCTGCGCCGTCGGACATCGGTGCCCTCCGGCACAGTCTACATTCTCCATGACTGCGGCGCCCAGCTGCCGCCGGCAGGCCACAGTTAGTTTGAGCGATTTTTTTCGCTTTTATGCGTGTGGTTACTGTGAATGTTTCTTATTCATAGCCCTTGGCCTTCAGATTATCAAATGAAGCATGTGAGCCGTCGGTCTTTGCATAAACAAGTGCAAAAATACGCTTTTCAGAAGAAGTCGTTTATGAAAGAAACCTCAAGTTTCAAGTCCACTGTCATTACCAAACGTCCGATACTGCAGCATAAATATTTGATTTGCCCAGATCTCCAGAGATCATTTGCAATAATTGCTCAATTCATGCGCATATCTATTTGACTGGAAACAGTCCGCAACCACGCAACATGCGTAAGCTTTTAGATAACGACCAAACATAAGATTCTGGTATGAAATGCGCATTCGTATTTGCGCATTTTCGGTTTCGGTTATCTAGAACTACATATAGTTTTAGAATGAATGCGGAATATAAGAAACGAGTTGTTTTATTAAAGCTTATCTTACACACTTATATGACATCCGTTTTAATGACGCTCTTTTGTCATCATGTGTGCCATCACAAACGAGCATGAAGTAAGCAATTTATATCTTCAAAAGATTTTGCCATACGCTTTGCTACACACTGATTCTCATTCGTAATGGTCAGTTACGAAATTCGCAAACAAAATCTTAGTTTTCATATTCTTTGTAGCTAGCGGCTAGATCTCGACACTCAAAGCCTGTCTCATTAGACTCTAAAATTGCACCAAAAGGCTCGGTTCTTTTAGCTGGTGCGATTGTCGAGCCCATGAAAGTCAAACGTGTCTGTAATCACAACATCCACCGGGCTCCCGGATAGATCCCAAAGTTAGCTGATGAGACCACAGCTCTAATTGCGGCTTAGTTTAGAAAGCGCGGCGGATTCTACCGCTCTCGCCGGTCACAATGTTCTATGTGATTGTGGAGTTGGTGTGTGGTCTGTCCATGACAGCGATGGGAGCTCACGTGGTTAAGTCCTCGCCCGCGGCCTCACAGAAGCCTCTCGGCCACTCGTGTGACGGAGAAGGGGAGGGGAGGCTATCAGCTGACGAACAGCGAGGGACGGTGCAAAGATCGATGGAAACGCCGGCCGTGGGCGAGGGGGACTGAGGCGGAGAGGGAAACGCGTGCAAGCACCGCGAGCGTCGGCCGAGAACGGCAGGAAAATGGACCGAAGCACAGATGGCATAACGTGATGAGCAGTGTTTGAGCTGCGACGTCCAGACCCTATCTCAACGATAAGCTACGGTTTATTCAAACGATTCACAAATAATATTAATATACTCGTACATAAGCGATGCAGCTCGTTCAATGCAATCAATACCGAAATATTCCCCGAAACTTACCGACGGCGTCGGCGCCGAGCAGCCGGAGCAGCCGCAGCTCGGCCACCGTCTCGTAGGAGGGTCCCCCGAGCATGACGTACACACCCTCGTGGACGCTCTCCTCGATACCCATCTCCTTCACCACGTTCTTGGCCTCCTGACGAAGCTGTTTGTCGTAGGCGTTCGACATGCCCGGGAACCGAGGCCCGAAACTGCGACAGAAAACAAGTGGCGTTTTGAGAAATGTCTAGGCATTGATGTCTGTTATATTATTTTTAAGTGACATTTTTGCCACCGTCGCAAAATGAATAGGCCAGCACCAAGTTCCCGAAGATATACAGTCCCAGCTTGGTAGTTCAGCAAAAATAATTGGTCTCCCTAGGAACATCTGTCACAGCACGCTGACGTCAAACAAACCCTGTTCAGCAACAAAAGGTCATAGAAATTCAGAACAGATCGTTAGCAGATTCTGTTCGATTACGAGCTTTACAACACACACCCAGACCTAATGAATACCAAATGACTTTCAATCCCGCTCGGCAGCCGAGTTAACACTCACTTCTCGTCATTTTTGCCGACGAGTGGGGAGTTTCCGGCGAATCCCGGAATGTTGATGTGGTCCTTGATGAGCATCACGTCTCCGACGTGGTACTTGTCGTTGATGCCGCCGGCGGCGTTGGTGACTATGACGCTGTTGACGCCGACCAGCTTCATCACTCTGATCGGCATCGCCGTCTGTCGGGAGGGAGGATGTGCTGTGTGACCTGGGACGTCAGTACTGTGTGCCGGCAGAGACCAGATGAAAAACTTCCGAAATCCGGATCATGTTCGTTCAGACATTGCATGCATGCGTATGACGCTAGGTTGTTTGCATATGATAGGCAAGTCCAATGTGATATTGCGACTTCGATCGAACGCTCGATAAGATTGGACTGTGTGTTTTGGCTAGTGCCCTCGTGTCCCCTACACCGTGTGATCAGGAAAGCTGGCGGCCTGTAGGTACTGCACTGCGGCACACATGGTGGCTGACGTAACATGATTGTGTTCGCTATGAAGGTACCGAAATCTCCATTTTGTCTCTCTTGAACTGTTTGTCTCATGGTTCATTCATGCAGCCGTATGCACGTCAAGCTTCCAAGACCAAAGGCCTCAGCAATGCCTTGTCTCATCACGCCACAGAATACTCCCTCCATCGGGAGGGAGACGGGACTTACCTTCCATAGTGGGTATCCCTCGTAGCTGTGGAAACGACCCTTCATACACATGACGGGCACGCCGTTCAGGAGACCGAACACGACCTGACCGTCATGGCCGGCCACCGTCGACACAGGAAAGTTGGGGATCTTCTCGTAAGGGAACGCCTCGCGCTCCTTCAGGTGGTCCACCAGGCTGCCTGAAAACGGGGACAGTAGGTTCAGAAAGAGAGTGAGGGCAACGTGACGATAAAAAAGATGTGTAACGGGCCATGCAAAAGGTAACATGCATTACAGCAGTTCGGTAAAAAAGGCCTAAGGAAACGGTTGATAAAAGTAAGATGCTTGGAACATGGAGGCTGCATTGCAAAGGCTTTTTTGTCACATTGTCCATTGCCCAATTTATACGCTATTGATAAGACATACGATCACGATTGATATTTTGATAACAGTACACACTATTGATTGATAGGTACAGGGACCCGCAGTTGCTACTGTACAGCGACCCTGAGTAAATTGTCCCAGCACCCTCACAGGGAACAACGATAAGCTGTCAGAGGGTACTCACAGGAAACCTCAGCTGCTCTTCTACAGGGACCAGCAGTCGATATCAATGTTATCGGTTGTTACTGGACAGGACAGACGGTTAGACTTGGGGTTCGTGTACAGTAGCAACTGCGGGTCCCCGTACTACAAATATCATACAAGCCCTTCGCTATGGACGTCAGTTAACTCCTCTTTGATGGAGAGTCCAGCACCGAAGGCCCTTATTCCACATGGTCCTTGAATGCATGGCTTAGGAAAGTTCGCTGGTCCAGCTTTAATTCCCAGAGGCATGTCATTTCAGCGGCTAAAACGAGGGCTGCCGATACGTGGCACGCACTGACCTAGTCCCGATCCACAGACGATACCGATGGCAGGACGGTGCTTGGTCCTCTCCAAGAGGTAGTTGGCGCTGATGCTGATGGTGTTGTAGTCAAACCTGAGGGAAATCAAGTGGGTCGTCATAATCAGATCCTCGGGTGCAGGCAAATATCGTATCACGGGTAAATTTGACGACGAACCATGCTGCCTAGAGCTTGGAATTGTCTAAAATATGCCATGGAAGCCTTAGCCCTTAGGTGATGCGTCTTGTGTCTTTGACGTAGATGATGAAAAACCGTAATTGTTCACAACATTGTACGTCGGAACATGATCACAAAGTCAAACAGATAAGCAGTGGTGACCTTCCTTTGCACATCAAAGAGAATAATCCCAAGGTGCATCATTAAATATAAACATACTTGACGGACGTCATGCAAGGATCCGAGGTGAATCAGCACATGCGGTAAAACCCCAGGGTCACAGCAGATTCAGTTATGCAGCACCCAGCCATCACAATGACATTCACTGACCCACTTGCATCCTTGACTGGTGACGTCAGTTGTCGTACTGACGTCATCAGAACGCCTACTTACGTCACAATTGCGCGCTGGCGGACGTACCCGCAGGAGTTTCCCCGAATGTCATAGCGCGGCGCACGACGGCTGCGTTTAGCGCTAATTCTAGAGAAGCAAGTGAAAGGCTGCTACGTGATATTGCGACGGTAAGGGCTAGAAGCGCGCTCTGAACGCGTTCACTGGAGGTAGACACGATACGGTGGTGGTGTACGAGGGTAGATGCTTACAAAAGGGCCAGTACTTGCAGTCATGGGGTGCGCACTGACGGTAAGACGAGTATTGTTGCTGGGATGGGTACCTTACTATTTGTGCGGTGGCAAAAGTATGACCACTGAGAAGGGTGCTTAGGTACTACTTACGACGGTACGCATTCCGATGCAGTGGTTAGTCGCGTACTTACGCCGCCTCGCCGGGAAGGGTGTGCTCCAGGCACATGCTGCCACCACCGGAGGCCAGCGCCCTCAGAGGTCGGGGAGACCCCTTGTCCGGCTCCGCGGCGCGGAACTCCAGGTCGGAGGCCCTGTGTGGCCGTGCGGTTAGAGCAGTTAGAAATCAGTGGTCCAAGCGGGGGAGCTCCCGTTAGTAAGTGGGCCCCAGGCTAGTTAGTGTTCTGCTCCCGGTCAGAAAAGTCGGTCTCTGGCTACTAAGATGTTAGTAGATAGACCCATTAAACTGAGTATGTACGTCACGGCACACGACCGCTACATGCCCCTCACAGTCACAGCATGTTTGTATGAAATTGCAGTCATTTTCAAACACTCTATCACATCCCACATGCAGTTATTACATCATGCACTTGGTTAGAAATTACTGGGAAGTGGCGCAAATGAGAGCTGGCGTATGGACGAGAGATTTATCTGTACATACCTACCTAAACTTTTTTTTGCATTGCAATGACGACATATTTTCGCTCCATCAGGTAATTTCATTTTCATGTTATGGCCGGATTCGGATTTTTTTATTCTAATTTCCTGCTAAGTCTATAAACTTAAATGTTTCAATGTTCGAGACAAAATTTTTGTTAAAAACGATATTAAATTCAGCTCTGCTGTATACCATGTTATCTATCATGCACTCAATGTCGACTTCCCTTCCATAATCAGACAGATCAAGCTTCGTTAAATGTTCACTTGCCTAACATACTCCAGATGACATTGCCTCCCAGTGTCTCTGTTTATCTTCCACAGTTTGTCAGAGAACCCTGTTATCTTTGTGTGCGCTATCTGAACGTGTTTCTGCGTGTCGTCTGTCATGGCGAATGGCGATGGATCATGTTTGGAAAAATATTCGTTTACTTTTCAGTACCGTAAAGGTTCAAACCACCACGCACCATCTTTTGACTAAATAGGGCTGGTAGAATTAAACTTCTCTCAGTTTGACTGTGTCCACTGGCTCCCGTTGGTATCCACTTCCTTGTGTAGACAATAAAAGATATAGGTATGTCTGCGTCCAAGCTATGTTGTTACTTGTCACTTTGTGAAATAAAAGAAATGTTTCAAGGCTCAATGTTTTTGCTTTTGCACATGGGCATTCCTACATAATTGGACCAATGGACAAACAATACGGAGATTGCAGTTGCGGCACACTCCACGAGCGATTCGTGCGTTCCAAATGTCCGAACAAGTAAATGGTGTTACGATTTGCCGTCTGGGCTTCTGCCTAATGCTCACTGTCACCAGGCGAACGTCTTATCTGAAGTTCCCGAGCGGAAGACATGGCACCGAGAGGCCCGTGCACGTGCAGAACCCCTCTTCCAGGGCCGTCCCGGGTCCCGCCCCCCGCACCACGTCAGAATGATGACCTTCTTGGAAGGGCATCCAACCGACTACACGTCATCCACGGGCTGCGCCGTTCCGTTAAAGGGACCCTCCCACTTAAACATTAGATTTGAGTTGAGATAGCCAAAATGGGGTCCCTGGCTCACAATTACCGGTTTCGGCACTCACAACATCGAGAAATGCCTTAAATAGGAAATATTGAATTTCAAAATTGCAGCATTTTGATTCAGAGGGGCTAATGCATAGGTATACCCCTCTGAATGTGTGACGTCAGCGCAGATATCTAACGATTTTTAAATGTTTGACTAAAACGTTTTGTAGCACGCGGTGGTATATGCTGCTTTGCGCGCAATAAGTGCCGCACTTTCAGCTGCCAAACTATTGTTTCCAAATAAAGTCGCTAGGAACAGCGGAGATCCCAAAAAGTAAACAAAAGTAAAAGTCTAATATCTTGAAAACCGGTGAATATTTTTCGGTGAAATTTGGTAGATATTAGTTTTCGCTCTTTCTGAACCGAGCGACATCACTTTCATGCCAATTCATAAACTTTTTGAAGGTGGGAGGGTCCCTTTAAAGAGGACAGCCCCGGTAAGTAGGTGTGTATGTATGTATACGACAAGGTTTTTGTCGTATGGGCAGACCTGTTCCAGATCTCAACACTTCCAGTGTTTATTTTCATTTTTAAACGTGTTTTTATACCACGTTCCATACACGAGCTATTATATATCGTTTATGAAATATGAATCTTTGTTCCAGCTTCGGTTTTCATATCATATCATATCAGTGTATTTAAACCTTCCACAAGGTGGCTTTTACGGTTTAGCGTCAGTACAATGGGTATACAAAGATAAGCGAGTAATAGACAAGTAAAAGCATACAATGTAAATTAAGAACGAATTAAAACTAACATATACATCAGAGCACACTCGATAAAATACATCAGGCACTTTTAATGATAGCTTTAAAAGCTGCCATCGACGTCGCGGTTCGCGCTGCTGGTGCGAGCCGGTTCCATGCCGCCGCCGCTCGGTATGAAAAGTGTTTCTGTGCCACCGTCAATCTGCGTCGCGGTAGCTGCAGGCTACACTCCACAGACCCTCGGGTTTCTCGACTAGACACGGTTTCGCGCGGGACAAACATATTTCGTACATCGGTTGGCACTCCCTCCGAATTTAACGCATTATATGTTTTTACTGCGTTTCAATAAGGTCATCGCTGCTGTTGAATTCCGGTCACCAGAATCTATCTGATAAGCCCCGTTCACTGGACATCATTGAACGTATTGGTGACTTTTCCGAGCTCGGACAGACGGCTGAACCGAACGATGACTGCTAATACGAGAGCCGCCCAGTGAGTTTCCTCGAAATGATATCAGTAAAATGACCGTCACTGGACCGCCGGCATCCGGGAAGCAGCATATATGGACGAGTTGAGATGTTGACCTTTCAGCAGTGTTTGGAGTATCTGCCGTCTCCGGCATCTCCAGTATCCGCTGCTCGCCAGACTCAGCAACCAGTCGGTGTGTTCGATACGGCTTATCGAGCCGACCGCTGCTGTTAGAGGGCCTGCCGGTACAGGCCTTGGACCGAGATGAAATGACATTAGTTACGTTAGGTTAGGACCGAGATCACATGGCAACAGGCAGCTCCACTGCAGAATTCGGGAGGCGTCTCCACTGCAAACCGGATGCTTCGCTATTGGACACCGGAGTGCATCATCTGATCTCAAGGAACGTACAGAGAACTTAATGAGCTTCTATGATCTTACCACTCGCAATGATTTAGTCCTGCAACCATGGAGATGTTCAGTTCTGCCTCCAGTCGTTGATTTTATGCTGTTCTTTTTCATGTTCGTCGACAAAGTAAAAAAGCGGTCTCGCAACTTTTGAAACAGAGTCTTTACGAGTACAGTGAAAGTCCGGATACTGTTTCTTATTCCTCGGATATATATAAGATGAACATTTGCTCATCAGCCAGGAATGACCTAACCCTATCGCGCTACCATCAGTAGCCCGGTCATGGTGACTTCATACTCGAACCGTTTCCCGACAATATAGCGTTACCCTGGTAACAGTGACCTGCTGGTTTTTGCACCCTTCTGCTGGCTGTCTGGCTCCCGGCAGCTCCCGCAGTCTGTTTTCCTCCCGGAGACAGCGGCCATCTTTCCGTAGGGACGGGTTCTGGACATTGGACAGTGTTGGCCAGTAACGAGCGTTTGCTGTTCGGGCAGAAGTCTAGTGCGGCTCAGACAGTGGCCCCAGGACAGATTACGAGAGGATCAATAGACCAGTGATGAGTGACGCAATGGTCCTCAGATGGTCCTACGACAGATTATTACGTGTTTATCAAATAAACAAGTGACGAATTATCAATGCCCGCCATCCGCACCTATTCGAGTGGTATGGTGAAATTTAAAACGTGCCTTTTCACACTTCACTTATTTCATGCAGTACATTGCCTGCTGTCTCCACTTCATCAAGACTACCGGACATCTCAGTCCGCAGCGAGATAGCCAATTCTTATATCAAACGCCTTCACCGATATCCTTGGTAATAAAAGACGTTTACATGATGCAAATGATTGGATTTGTTATTGGCTAACTTAATTAGGCTTATGAGGTAAATTAAATTTCGCCTCACTGGGTAAAAGGATGTAGTGCTATTTCAGAGTCTCTAAAGATTAGGATTTCAGATGAGTGATGGATAGTGCCTATGTATATGACCTGATTGGGCCACATCAAAAGAAGCATGGCCTGGTGCCCAACAATTTCAGACATCGTAACAAATTAGAAACTGGGAAGAACAGTCGGCAATTAGTTGTATCATTTAGCCCGTTACCACGATATCCAATGGCGGGTTCGTCTGAAGGCATTTTTTTCAGTCAAAAGGCGAGCCATGACATATTTTCGAATCGGGTGATATAACTAGTGTCATACAAATCAATTACTGTAACCGAAGGTTTGTGTTGGTTTTTCGCGAATAACTCGCGTAAAAAGCGGCCGATCGCGACGAAACTTTCAGTACCCTCGCATTGATCAATTTTACACCTACCCTGTAAATTTCATGACCCTGACCCAAATGACCTTTGACCTGTGACCTCTTTTCCGAGACCATGTTTGGCCGGAATCGCGATTTCGCGTATGTCGGCTCGCACTAGCCGCGTGTTTGCAAGCTTTTTGTGGTTTCAAACGTTCAAACATGTGATTTGATGTTACTCCCGTGTGTGTCAAGGTCACCTGAAGGTCAGGTCAGGTCATTGACCTTTGGTGACCTCGGGTGACCTCGGGTCACTTAACACTTTTTCGAGTTTTACATGTTTCTAGGCTAGTTTTTGGAGCTGAATTCGAATTTAGCAACCATTTGAACATTTACGAAGTAGTTTTGGTGACTTCGTAACATGTTACGAAGCTGTCAGAGGCGGTTGACACGTACTACGATTACCCGTCACGACGCCTACTGGTTGACCTGACCTGACCTGACCCGACCTGGTCTAAATGCTTCAAGACATCATCTGTGATCAAAACTAACACGATATTCGTGATCAGCACCCCGAAAAACCCCTTAGCAGCCAGACATGTGCTTGGATCCGGAAAAATGGATCTGAGATCCGATCCCATGGATCCCGATCCGAGATCCATTCAGATCATAGATCCAACCCCTCAATTTTGTCGAGAGATCTATTGGGATCATAGATCTGACCCTTCAATTTTGTCGCTAGATCCACTCGGATCATAGATCTGGCTCCCCAATTTTGTCGTGAGATCCGTTGGGATCATAGCTCATACATAGGTGCTCAAAATGTTAACAACTTTCTTTCATAAGAAGTTATGAATACCAAAGTATGGTTAGAAACAAACAATCTTATACAAAGACCATATTAGTAAAGGCATCCAGTTACATTATACAGAATACAAAATAAAGGAGGCTCATGACGGTCACAACTTGAGAGAATTGAGTGACATGAAGATTGTTCACAGTTCACATACCAACAGAAAAGTTTGCATTAACAATTAACATAGAGGTAAGTCAAAGTAATGACTAATGAACAATACATAACTAGGTACCTACCACATCACAATTCATGTTAGAATCTACATAATGATATTGATAAGACAATCTCATTGATCTTGCATTAGACAACCATGAGGCTTTCCAGTTTCCAGCTACCACAATTGATTGATAAACAATAAAAGATGATACTGACACATGTGGCTTGGTTAGGTAAAGGTATTTCAATCTATTGAAAGAAATATTTGATAAAATAAACTGAGATATAAACAAAAGTATAAAAATATTCAACAGCCTGCGGAAGCGATGGGAAGCGAAATATCAATTGTAATGGCTTGGATATTTACCGTAAAATGATTATTCAGTATCTAAATTGAACTCGTGACGTCATTTCAAATAACAAATGAGCTAGGCGTTCTACCTTCGAGTATAATGAAAATAAATAAAAAATCAAACTGGAAATTCAAAAGTCTGGAGCCTTTTTTTAAAGAATGTACATTTTTTCTGCCTCACATGATTTTACGATACGATTGTTTGTGAATATCATCTTTGTAGCGTTGAACTTAATGACGTAAACGTAAGCTGAAACGGTATTATATGGCCCTGAGCGGTGTGCGCCTTGCATCTTAATTTTATTCACTTTTCAAAAGAATAACAATATCTTACGTCATTAGTTTAGAGGGCCTATTACGGGGAATCTTTTGGAATCATTACGGTCTTGGTCAAATTAAGATTTTTCATTGGTCAAACGATAATGACGTAATAAAACCATATTACCAAAACGTGAGCTGTGAATTTCGTTTGTCTTTTTTGGGAGGCTCTCTCATAACAAAAGCACAGCATGGCACCACACGTGGCAGCTGGCAGGATGCCAAAAGTGGCCAAAAGTAGGTAATCTGAAGAAGTTGATGCCATTTTTGAACTTGTAATTTTATTAGGGAAGTATTAGAGGTTGGTTGCTATTCTTACTAAATCGAAATTGTGTTGCACATACTAATAGCTCATATGAACATTCTGGATTGGGATTTCATACCTGGCAGAAGTGGATTGCTGGATTATTTTTAACAAAACTGACCTATTTGGCTTCCAGGTTTGATTTCCTAACATCTGTCCATAGGCGGCAGAACAGGGGGGGGGGTGTGGCACCAGGGTACAGTGCCCCCCATAGAGTTTGGCATTTTAGCATTAGCCCTACTGGCGTTGCAGAAAGAATGGGACCAAAATGAAAATCTGCAGTGCCCTGCTGCCACTGCATCTGTCTGTACTGTTTGTTCTTTGAATTAAAGTGGCTGTAGCTTGTTGATAAGATTGTCATCAGTGCTGTCATGAAAAAGTTACAATTGGTCACAAAAAGTAGCAATATGCATGTTCTTGGTTTATTTTAAATGTAGTACAAATGTTGTTTATTTAAATTCAAATTTAATGATGATACCTAATGATCACAAGTGGTCTTAACCAATAACCATGTCCACAAGTGATAATTCTCAATTGTATTGCACTGTAAGGTGTACAATTATGTAGGATAAGGGTTTCATTGGCTACATGTTGTCGTGAGATCCATACAGATCATAGGTCCTCCACAAATTTTAGCCCGCTGGATCCACAGAGATCATAGATCCGACCCCTAAATTTTGTCGAGAGATCCATTCAGATCATAGATCCAACCCCTGAATTTTGTCGAGAGATCCACTCGGATCATAGATCCAACCCCTCTATTTTGTCGAGAGATCTACTGAGATCATAGATCCAGCTCTCGGATCCAAGCACATGTCTGTTAGCAGCCACACTTTACGACTTTCTAACAGGTCCCGATTTTCCCGACTTTGGGTCATTGACCTGACCTGGAAGGTCAACCAATGACCTAGGACCTTAAAATTGGGTATCATCGGCTTCCTCTCGTCACGGGCAACACGCTCGTTTTTTCCGCGAAGCTCTAGCTCGATCAGGGGCCAAACGGCAAGGGGGGGTCCAACCGACCCCCCCCCCCCCTACACATTAGAAGCTGGCAAACGCCGCACACATGCGAGGGTTAAATTGTGTTTTCTATGGGAGATCAAACCTGCGTTCCCGGGCAATTTTACAGAAGCTGGCTGAGATCGTGAGCGCATTGTATAAATTATCCCAATGGTGTTATTATGTGGAAGGTAGCCCCTGAAAGCCACGGCGACCATCATTTGTTAATGTCATAGTCATTGCTATGGCGACGGTCAGTGTCGCTCGGACGCTGGTATCTTATCGTTTGTTGTGACATATGTTACATGTACTCAAGGGTCATAAGCGGTACAAACATACACATAACTACAGTGGTGCGATCTCAGAGTGGAATGACTGTGCTTTTATTTGGCGGTGCTGATTGGTGAGCTTTCTTACGAGAAAAGAAGAATAATAATAATATAAGAATAACCAGTAACCTCATAATATAAATCAGAAAAAGGAGCCAAAAAGTTATATTTAAAATTATCGAATATTTCGCTCCTGGAGCTTCGTCAGCGATAATTACAGAAAAACATATACGTTTTTTTGAACCACAATTACAATTTACACAAATAGGCACAATTTGAAACCACAATTACCGCACTTAGCTAGTTATACGATAATCGATTATATAGGCTGTAGTTATCAGCCACGGACAAAATTACAAAAAAATTGGTGGATTTTGCATCAGTGCTCAAATTCTCATGGACATAAACTTCAATTATCATGGCCACACTCTTGATCTAATTTCAACTTTTCACACACAATATTTTGGATAATAGACATTAAATAACATAAAATAAAACACAAATAGTATTTGGAAATTTTTGAACTCATGTTTACGGCTATAAAGAAGGTACCTCAAATCACAAAATAACCAATCGAATTATTTCAATCAGACAGCCACTAAAGAAAACTCTGGACCGAGCAAAATAAACCGAACCATATGTCCCGATACAGACCCATGCACCTGTCACCCAATGCACTCTTATACTGATATACAGCCGTGAGCGGGAGCCTCAGACCACACTCACGGTTCGGCGGCCATGGTTGCTGCGGCTGGCTGTCGGTCGAGCTGTCTTCTATATCGCCCGCGCTGCGTCGTCCGTCGGTACCGGTCCGTGAGCGTCCTGCCTCCGTCACGGCGCTGCTGCGACTGCAGTACGGCCGCGCCTCCGGCCGACCACAGGTCAAGCAGGGCCATCGCAAGGTCGGCGGGCGGACTATGCGCGCGCAGCGCACACCCCCGTCCGCGCTGCGACCCGACCAGACTTTCCATTGAGGCGATGTGCGCCGCGGTATGTGCGCCACACACACACACACACACTGGCTACCGACCGTCGAGCGGTGGTGGTGGGGTCTGCGTGACAGAGGGATATGTGATGGGTGGGGTGGGCGGTAGTCTGCGCGCCGTCGACAAGGACCTGCCTGAGGGACGGCTCCCCACTGCATTTCTCAGCGTGAGCTCCTATATAGAGCGAGGGCGCGGCATGAAGATGACGCAACGACTGACGCAACAGCAGAGTTTGTCTGTAGAAAATTAACGTTATGTCGTGACTTGACACACCGGAATCTGAAGAGATTGATTTTTCGTGAAAATGAGAAATGCACTACCTCTTAACCCTATTAGTGGCAGGGGGGGGGGGGTTGTTTTTATCCACCCCTCAGGTTTTTCGGGAATATCTCCGAAACCGCTGAAGCTACGATGCTGAAATTTTCTGACTTTTCCTAAAACTAAATTGGGCACATTCCCTGAAAATTTCAAGTTCATAACTGTACCAGGGGCGGCTCCAGAGCACTGGGAATTGGGGGTCCTATTCGTGAAGCGAGTCAATTGGGCGAAGATCACGATGCTGCACCAGTTTTACGAACAGTGAATGAAAGGTATCATGTGATAACATATACAAAGTTATTGTGCATCCTCTTTTGACACGTTTTTGCTATAATAGGCGGATCCAGGCGTCCAAAAAGGGGGTTATTTTTTACCTCCCAACATAGGTGCCCTGACACCGCCTATGCATGACCAATACAATTTTAGTCGTTCTCTCATAAGAAAATTGTAACATAACAAGACCATTGCCACCCTTTTTAGAAACAGTACCAACAAAAACCTTATTTACTATACTTATTGTGTACCCCCAATCTCAATGATCTGTATCCGCCTATGATTTTTGAAAATGCATATTTTTAGGATCCATGTGAATTCCTGGTTCATTCTCTATCGATCGGCAAAAGTTGCGTTAAGATTGGTTCAGAAACCTGGCCGTGATAAACAGTCTAAAATGTATCTGCAATTTGCCCGTTTTTACCCCCCTCTACCCCCCTATTGACATTTTTTAATTTTTTTTTTTTTTAGAAATGTAGATCACGTTGAGCCAAATCGAATGCCGTTTGAATTTTGAAAATCGGCCGGCTAGATCTCGAGATATCAAGGGGGGTCGTAAACAGCCCCCCCCCTGCCACTAATATGGGGTAGCCAGGAGCCTGCCACTAATAGGGTTAAAAAGCTTTCAGTCAGTGGCGTCAGTAGATATGTATACGGATATTTGTACCGTGGATTACCCTCTCAGTTTTCACACACGAACCGAGTCTTAGTGCCAAACACACGGGTCAAAGTCCGTTGACTGATATTTCCAGCCGATATCGACCGGCTTTGCCCAGCGTCTGATGCATAATTATCTACTATGTATTTCAGACCCCATGAGACCCTGTTTTTCGGCGATAATTTTTTCAGTTTTTGTCTAATTGGCTTGAAATTTTGACATTAGACATTTCAGCTCAAGCGCCAATTTTCATCAATATGGTCTCTTAACAAAATGTCAATATTTAGAGCACTTGTCATAGGCTCGTAATGCTAATTAGATTTTGCACCCGGATAGAGGCTCGTTCGCCACCGCAGCGGATTGGATGGGAGCGCTGGCCAATCACGTTGCGCCGGGCCCAACTAAACTCCGCCCACTGGCCGTGACCGCACTGGGTCTACGCAGGCTCAGTCGGCGGTAGCACCGCGGAGAGGTCGCACGGGGCCGCGCACTGGAAACATACATGGAATCGACAGGAAGTGTCTGAGCGAAAGCCTGCTCTTCATTTGGGGGAGTTGGTAACCGCTTCTCTCTTTTTGGAATATGAGCTTCGATCCAGCTCAGAATATGAAGAATAATCATAATAAGGATATTAACCTCCCCAGAACCAACCTTAAATAGAGAGCTGAGTTATGCACTATCTGAATATCTGAATGAATGTACATACATTCTGGCGCCTATCTCATGGTCAGGTCGTGCCACTATTCTGTCACCTATGACATCATGCGAAGCCTCTGCACTTACTCGAAAACATCGATATTGGTTGGCTGCGTCAATCGCTGTTTCTGATTTGAGGACGCTGTTACCTTTGCAGAAAACAACAGAGTAGGATGCTGAGTCGCGAGCAGTTCCGATTGCCTAAGACATCGCTCCACGAGCTGTGTTCGTAATTCGGGAAGCGTTGAGAAAGGAGCAGAAATGTGATGTGCGATTTATTGCGTATGGTAGAAATGTGACATCAGAATAAGGGAAACAAGCGCATACGCTAGTAAAGAAATCGCGTCTTTTTGTGAAACTGAAGTAACTTTTCAAGCTCTCCAATAGTGAGGCAGTAGGTTACTTACTTACAAGCTACAGGTATTTTAATTATTTGCAGTTCAACACGAAAGCCTGGGGTCAAGTCAGTCCGGTGACCTCAATCTAGCCAATTATAAAATGGGTTAGTTCTGAAGGTGTTCATGTTGCACCGCAATCGCATGAATCCATCTCAAGCATACGCATAAGCATAATATATTTCATATTGCAACCACACTTCTTAAATGCTATGGTGTAACTGTTTATCATGTCTTGCAAGTTTGACGTAGGCTGACCGACGTCTTGCATCAGTTCACAGTCAATTGACATCGACAGATTTTTTAAAGACGTTCAATCAAGAAAAAATGCAGTCACTAGCCCTGAACTTAGTATTAAAGTAGGTATATCTTTATTGATTGACATGGTGTAGGCTAATTTGCGATCAATGCAATAATGAAGGCTAGTGTGCTAATTACGAGCGCTAGTTTCTGTTGTATCGTTATTACTGCAACGGCAACCGCAAGGCAGCCACGTCCAATGCGAGCCGCCCCGGCCCAGCATACGGCCTTGGGTCCGGCAGCTACTGCCCCGTCGGCTCCACGCATCCGACTGACCGGCCAAGGTCACCGCTCCGTCCGCCGGGAGGGCGGAGCTTAATGGTCACGTGTTTGTGACGTCACGCCTACGTACGGATAGCCTCTACTTCACTGACGGATTTACGGAGCTGATTTTAACATTACGAGGCAACGACGAGTACCCTAAATTTTTATATTTTGTTAAACGACCATATCGACAAAAATTGGCGCTTGAGCTGAAATGTGCTTTGCGAAAATTTGAAGCCGATTGGATAAATATTAAAGAAATTATCGCCGAAAAACAGGGTCTCATAGGGTCTGAAATGCATAGTATGTATATTGTATATGGAGGTACTCGGTAAATTCCCTGAGCTCATCAAAATTCGGCCGATAGCACGATGCACCTGCACGACAGTGAACACATACGGTGACAGGGACGGGTCCTGGGCTTTCAGCACACCTCTTCAGCAGATTGACGGCGATCTTCCTGCTGCAGGAAGTGGGGCCAGACGGGAAGATCTCAGCTACCTCAGCCACACTACCTCAGCTATTTAGCAAACCTGCAGCAGTGCGGCTGTTCCCCAGTGACCAATTTTCGCTGACCAATGGTCAAGGGGTTCGCTGAAGGTCTTGTCAGTCAAACGGTCGAGGCATGGTTCGGCAATCGCCGTAGATTGCCCAGAAAGTAGTTACCGCCCCCTTTCTCTCATCCACTCGTCTGTTGACAAGGGCCTCTGCCACCGTTAATCTGGCGAAATGCAGTTGCACCGTAGCTTTCGGCGAATGAGATAAGACCCGGATGCCTTTCATGAATATCGACGGAACAGGAACAGGTAATGCCCCGCGAATGCTGATGCAACTGTCTCCTGCAATCGAGAGTGAGTAGATATTTTTCGGGGGAAAGCAGGAACTTAGAAATAGTTCAGCGTATGCAACTTTTTGCATGTTCGTAATGCGATTCGACCAAAATTAGCAGATCCATCGACCGAGACAATGACTGTTAAATGAGCGTGGAACTTTAGCAATTAGCGCTACACTTTCATGATCCCAGATCCCTTGCTGGCTGCTGCAGCAGCTGCAGCCCAGCCCTTAGCGCACTGTAAAATTATTCAACTGAGGCCAGCCGCTAGTCCGACCCTTGGCACTCAGGTCTTCCCCGAATTCAGGGAGGAAGTTTCGTCACATATATTGCTAACGGTCAGTGACACGGGATGATGAAAACCACAACGTACTTGTAACTGTGCACTATAGCTTCAATGTCAAACCTGCAACGAGATCCCTGAATTTCGCGTTGTTGAGTCGATTGCTAATTGAACTTATTTGATTGACGGTTGTATACGGACTGTTTAAAGCAGTTGCCGTGGTAGAGTTAGTGCCCCCATGGGAGCTGAATCACTGGAGGGGAGGGTCGCTTGCTCACCACCCCTGCCCTCTATTGACCGTCGCAATCTGTTATCTGGACCACGCCTCCTTTTGATAGCGTCACATGACGAAACATTGGTCTTCCGCCGAGAGGGACAGTCCGTTCAATCTGTTGACGTTTCAGTGAAGAAGTAGATACAAACGTATTAGGCAATGCTTGACTTACAAGAGTTAGACATGCTGCAATCTGATAAAAGTGGATACTTGATGTTAAAGTGTTTGTCAAGAATAAGATGTTCTTTGAAATGCTGATGATTGCTGCCTAATCGCCTCTTCAGAAATGTTCGTAATTCGTATACGAGTATATGATCTATCTGAAGGTGCGCCCGTATTCAAATATATGTAGGACTAGGACTGTTAGAAGTGCAAGTTCAGGTGCGTTGCATTTTTTTTTGTAACGCATAATAGTATAAAAAAATACGTTTAACCCTCGCCGGCCGAGGGGAGGGGGGCGGGTGCCGCCCCCCCCCCATAGGGTTTTTCGCGATAGCTCCGAACACGCTGGCGATAGAGAGCTGAAACTTGGCATACCTGACCTTTGATTCAAGCCGGATCTTTTGACACCAACCGCATTTTTGGGTCAGGTCAGGTCACTGACCTATGACGTCCTAAGTGAACCTCTGCACGGTTTTCAGATGTCGCAACTTCGCAACGCCCTCACTGCCAGAGGAGATGTCACAGCCTCACAGGGAAATGAAACTTGCAGGACATAGTATCCATTATGAGTCTCACAACTTGTATATCTCGGATTTTTCCTAAAGGTCATATGAGGTCAGGTCATTTTCGTGATCTCACCATTATCAGTCAATGGGGAAAAATGAAAACTGCTATTCTGGCGCCGGGAACGATCTCCAACTATCTC